TTGTCATGCAAGTATATTTACATTTTTTGTCTATCAATCGATGACCCAGAGCAGGAAACACATGTGCTGTTGACCAAGTCCATGGAAGCTCTGTTGGCAAAGTCGGCCAAGTTGCGAGACATCGAGTCAAAAGTTGAGAACCCCAGGCCACTTTAGTATTGGTAGGATTGGCGTTCAATGATCACACAATCAAATTTGAATCAACAGTATTTGTTTTCATGAGTGACCTTTGCATCATCTCATTTAAAGCCATACCCTAAGTGTGAAGTCGATCCTCAAGACTGCCTATGAAGCCATGGACACTCACTATGATGCATTGGCTACAAGCCTGGCTCGCTACCGTGCAGTGAAGACAAAACCGTCTGATACGTTTCTTTGGCACAATCATGTTGAATCTATTGTTATAAAATGGTATATAGCAAAAACATTACTGACATTCCATCAGCCCCGGCACTTTGAGGTTGGCTCAGAACATTGACAAGCAATTGGAATACGCAGAAGTCTTGTGCCTTGATTTAAAACCACTCTGAACAACTGGATTTCTATGGGTGGTGGAACCATGGGGTTTATGTTTTTTGCCGTCCCAGGGGAAGCAAGGCTACACGTGCAGAAGTCCAAGCCCAGCATTCGCCCCAGAAAATTCTGGTGAGAACAGTGTGAACATACATGTGCATATGTATATTCATTCATATTATATCATATATATTTGAAGTAGAATCGATCTTATAAAGTCTGATACACATATCACGGTATATCACCACATGGTCATACCTAAGGCCGGCTTTGAAATCTGCCCGGACCAAGCGCAAGTCTGAGAACGACGATACCAATTCTGAGTTGCCAGCACCAAAGGTGCCAAAGTCGAAGGCAAAGAGCAAGGCGAAAGCCAAGTCTGCCAAGTAAAGGCAAACTTCATGAAATGGGGTTTTGCAATTCTGAAATGATTTGCTTTGGATCGATCTCACAGCCCTTTCAAGCGTGTGGTTGCATTGGAGTCAACCCTGAACATGCTCACCTGGGCCTAGCGTGAATTCCATGAAAAAAAATCGTCCACGGGTAGTGCAACAAATCTTATCCATGCAGTGCAGCATGCCCAGAAAGACCCATCCCTGGCCTTCCCACTGTTTCTGTAGATCCCATTGCCATCGCATCAGCACCTTGGCCATGCCAGGTGTTGTTGGACCAATGGGAAAGCATGCAGCATCGTGCATTGCAAATGGTGCCGGGGACCCAAGAGGGAAAGGGTGAAAAAAAAAAAACTATATCAAACTATGAATTATATTTGGATACTTTGGACAAGCCACCATTCTGGAGATTTGGCCCAAAAGACAAACAAAAAATCAGAATAGTTTAGTCGTCAGCTCCCCATGGATACTCGAGCCCGTGTAGTTGAGAAAAGGGAAAGAATTCTGGCCTCATTGAAGGCTTCATTTGAAGCTTTGGGTGTTCACGACCCAGACTTGCCCTGGGGGTTTGTGGCAGGACCCAAACGGCCTTTTGAAAAGCATGCCTTTGAAGCAAGGCAAAGACTCCGTGATTTGGAGCAACTACAGGTTCTGGATACGGTCATTAGCAATTGGAAATTCATCAACTTGGAAGTGAACCGTGATGAAACCGATCAAAATGTGAGCTGTGGCAGCTGAGTGGGCTTTTTTCAATTGCCAATTCGTTATGGCTAGGCCATGCAGTATGGCTTGCGCTGTTGTGCAAATTTGCTTAAATGTGCACGCTGTTGTTCCCACGTGGTGCTCCCATTGCCCTACGTGATGCTGAAAATTACATGACATACGCTAGCGATCCCTGGCAAAGAAAAAGGTCAAAAGCTCCTGCTTCAAAGTTTTTTTTTCTCACATGATCTCCTTCACCAGATCTCTTTCACATGAATCCTTTCACATGATCTCTTTCGCATGATCTTTTTCACATGACCTCTTTCGCATGATCTCTTTCACATGACCCTTTTCAGATCTCTAGCTTATTGTACCCCCAACGATTGGATTTTGATCGCCCAGGCCACCGCCAAGTCTGTAGCTGAGATGAGCAAGGCCGCAGTCGATCATTATGGATCTACAAGTTGCCCAATCACTTCCCGTCTTGCAAGTGTGCCAACTAAGAGAGCAGAAGACGAATGCCATAAACTGTGACGTAGCTGAAGCTGACTCCATATGATCCCATATAAAAATTACGGCAATTATTCTTTTTAGGGATGCTTTGGGTTGCATTTCAACTTGCACTTTTTAACTTTGAACCCTGCCCAACCAAGGTTTGAGAAGCACAACCTGGCGTTGAAGATTCCGGTTTCCTGGGTTGACTTGGATGGTGGTGATAGCTACCCTGTGCTCAGTATGCTTGACACCATTGACTACTTGGTTCAATCCAACAACTTGTCCAAGTTGTTTGGGGAACAACCCATGGAACAAGTGCAACCAATGTTGTTAGAGTTTTGGCGACGTTACAGCCTTGAATGGCCAGATTATGGAGTCTTTCGAGCTGCTGCTGAAAACAAGCTGTCGCTATCACGAACAATTCCAGTTTACATTCATGGTGATGAAGGTCGTGGATTCAAACGATCGGGTGTCATGATATTGAGCCTACAAGGGGCCATTGGTCGTGGCAGCAAACCTTTCCTCAAAAGACATCCAATTAGATCTCTTCGTCAACTCAAGATGGGTATCAACCTTCAAGGGAGCTCTTTCAACAGTCGAATGCTGTTTGTTGCAATGCCAAAGAAACATTACAAGGCGAAACCAGATTCTGGGACTATGATATTATTCATTTTCTATCCTCTTAGATTGCCTTTGGTTGTCCTTTCCTGTGACATTAATTTTAATCCCACTCAGCCCCCTATCCTTACTCAGGAGAATTTCCAGGCTGTACTCAACAAGATGATCAATGACCTCCTCAAACTTCAAGACATTGGGTTTACCTACGCAGGGGAAAGATGGAACATCGCTTGCTTAGGTGTGAAAGGGGATCTTCCGTTTTTGAGGACCGTTGGAGACCTGACGAGGCATTGGCAAAGGGCGCACAGGTCAGAGGAAAACAAATCTCCTCCTGGGGTTTGTTGGATGTGTTTGGCTGGCACAAAGCCAGGGGGGCCTTTTGAAGATTTCAACATAGATGCTCAATGGTCTGTGGTTGCTACAGTTGATCCTTGGGTTACACGACCTTCAGTGCTGCAATTGTTTCATTGTATCGATCGTCCCCATGACTATCTCAAGACTGATGTTTGGCACAACTACCATGGAGGAGCAGGTAAAACTTTCATAGCTTCAGTGCTGGCTGAATGTTTGCTTCTTTTGCCGGGGTCAAGGGAAGACAAAATTTCCCAGTTGGATGTTCTCCTACGTCAGTGGGCCAAACGGCCGGGTTGCAACCTTCCTCATTCAGGTCCATTTGTTGCGGAGAGAATTGGCCTTACAAGCTTCCAGGTCTTACCTGAAGGAGGTTGGTCAAAGTTTGCTGACACGCATATCTACCACAGGTTTGTGGAATGGTTCTTGACAGGGAGGATTAATCAATTCAATGAGGACGAGTATTTTTTGATGATTCTTGAAGCTGTCAAAGCGGCCAACGACACTTTTTCAATTCGTTACTCGTCTGGGTTGTGGCTGACGTCCAATGAAGCGCTTGCAGCTGGAAACAACGGAAGAAAGTGGTTACGTATCTATGCAAATCTTGCCTATAGGTGCTTCACTGAGCGAAAATCACGCTTCCCGATCTATGTTAAGTTTCACATGTTGGACCATCACTGGCGTCGTTTGGTATCTGGAGCCCAAAACAAATGGACACTGAACATCCTAGCGGAGTCAGTGCAGGCTGATGAGGAGTCTAGTTTGAATTTATTTGAATTTTGATATGTTGGTCGTTATGTGGTCCTATCCTAGTATGTGTCATCACTGTTGTATTTTCCGTTCCCTGGGGATGTCTCATTTCAGGACTTTGTGGGGAGATGCTGTCGCGTCAGCCGACGCATTTCCCCCAGGGCAATTGGATTGAGAGTACTTCAAAGGTATCTTGTGAAAACAAACAAAGCCATGGGAAACCATGGGAAACCACAGGAAAACAAAGGAAGAGAAGCTTCGCCGAGATGACGGCTGATTTGGCCCATGGTCAAAGCACAAAAAAGGGGGAGTGAAGCCTGTGTGGTGATTAAATCAACCCCCAAATTGGAAAACTGGTTATAACTGTCAGAAAAAAAAAATGGTTTCGGAAATAATTAAAAAAAAAACATTCATTTGGGTTCCTATGTATATATATATAAATAAATTAAAGCGTCATATAATCATATATTCATATGATTTAATTGTCTTGATCTTTGCTAAATTAAGGTAAATTATGGTAATTTCGTTAAAACAGCTCCAATACTTGTTGGCTTTATGGTCATGAAATAAGCATAGGGGTAATAGGCCAACATAAATTTGAGACCACCTTGCAGAATGACTGGGAAAATGGATGGTTCACAAGTTGTTTGGCGCGAAATCAACATGTTCATTTTTTTGCCGGGAGACTTGGGGTCTTACTTTGGGGTTCAATGGCAAAATGACCCCAATAAATGGTGAAATGGCTGTTACTGGGTAGTTTCAAGGAAACAATAATATACTAATGGGTGTTCCGCTGTAAGATCGCACCAAAAGATATTAAAACTAAATTTGAACTCATAATGCGATAGGGACTAGCATCCAACTCGAACGCAAATTTCATGGGTCAATGGGAATTGCTGTACCCTTTCAAAGACGGGTACCCCAATCCACATTCATATATCATCCAACTTTTGCAGGGGCCTACAGATGCCTACAGTATGCAGTGACAACTAGCTCCAGACAAAGGTGACAAAGGCTTTGCTGCCTTGCTTGAGACTATGGTGCCAGGTTTTACAAATGGAAGTTTCCTTAAATGGTGGTAGCCCAAAATAGATGGTATATTAAGAGAAAATCCTACTAACATGGATGATTTTTTGGGTAGTAGCCCTATTTCAGGAAACCTTTTAAAAATGGAGCCCCTTATTGCACTGTGGAAAACATTGTTGGCGCCTTCTGTTCCAGATCCAAGTCCTTTCTTCGCTGCTGGTCCTTCAAGCGTCGCTTCTCCTGGCGCGGCTGAGACATGGAAGAACAAGGCATAGTTTTGTTCAAAATCATACTGCAAATCGACTGGTTCATCATGATTTTCCCCAAATATGAATGGACTCTGATGAATCTATGGTGAAACTAGACCCCCGACAGTTGATGTTTCATCTTTATCTTTCCCACTAAAACTAGCATTTTGGGGTACCCCATTTTCAGACAGACCCAAATGTCCGGGACAGCAACTCACTCCAGGAAAAAAAATCATTGGGGATGGGATATGATTCAACCCATGGATACCCATGGATTACATGGAATATAGCATGATTTAACAAGGAAATCATGAAATTTTGGGATCTTTGGACGAAAGACGTACAGAGTGCTGTTCCAAAAAACTTTTGTTTTAAGGTAAAATGATCCCATCGAGCTGTATATGTTTCCCCATATATTAACAATTGTGGCGTTTGCCTGTTAGAGTGCAATTCACCTCTCACACTATATTATATATATATATATATGATATACCCTCTGGTGAACTAACATAGCAATGGAAAATCACCATTTTTAATGGGAAAATCCACTATAAATAGCCATTTTCCATTGCTATGTTAGTTCACCAGAGGGTACGTTTGAATGTTTGGCCAGGCCAAATCCCAATGTGTCCAGAAATTGGGATACATCTGGATCGTTTTGTTTTTGTGATTCACCGACCAGAAATTGCATCATTTGGGGATAGTAATGTGCCCCAATCCTAACCATGAAAACCAAAGTACACCATATCATCAGTGATGTTCCGCTGCGTATCCGCATGATAGTTAAACTTTAAAAACACCGATGTGTTTGTAGCTAAACATAGTTAAAACGTTAAACCCCAATTTACATTTCAAAAAAAACGTGTGGTAGTTAAAATTCAAAGCTGCAGTTTTTGTTGTTTTTTATGGTACAGTAAATCCCAATAGAAATAGCCTCCGAGAAATCAAACATGGCACAGAAAAACCATGGAAAACTATGGAAAATTTCTTGATATTCCCATGAAAAGCCCGTTGAGACTAGGATTCTCAATTGCCAAGTGACTGGTGACACCAGAGGGTATATTCATTGATATCACATGAGCAGTGTTTTTTTTTGGTGCTTAGGTCTTATAGACTAAGTTAGGGCACCATAGGGCACCTACGCAGGGTGTACGCGGGCCTACGCCGTGTGGAAGGGAGCCTACGTGGATGCACATGTCAAAAAACGTCTACGCGAGCGCCTACGCAAGTTTTTTGACCGCACATAGAGAAGCCAGTGGCTTGCAGTCCAGCCCACGCAATCTTGCTTACGCCTAAAAATCAACCAATGCATACGCGAAGTGCGACGCGAAGAGCCTATGCTGCTTACGCTGCACTGCAAAACACACATGATCAGCCTACGCAAAATATCATGCAGTCCAGTTGCCTTTATCTAGATTTCATGATCTCAAAAAAAACGATGCTCACATGAATATTCTGAATATCCCATTAATAGTTATATCCGGTATAAACCCAAGAGTCAACCAAGTTATTAGTTCATTAGTTTTATGATTACTTAATTATACATACAACATAAACCTTCAAGTTACGCTCTGGTAAACTAACATAACTATGGAAAATCACCATGTTTTTTTTAATGGATAAATCAACTATAAATGGTCATTTTCAGTAGCTATGTTAGTTTATCAGAGGGCATATTTACCATAAACAGCCATAAACTACATAAACCCCCTGCAACTCATCATCCCAAACATTCCCGCGCCGACCTCAGAGACTTTCATCCATTCCTCTGTCAGTTCACAGACTTCCTGCTGAAGTCTGGAAGTTTCGCACTCGGCGCATCCCCGTGACCCGCTTTGTCATGGGTATATACATCGCCAATCTTAGATAGCCTGCAAAAAATAAAAAAAATCTTTGCTGGACTAAAGGATTAAAAGTATCCATGTGAGATTGACCTAGTATAATGAGATATAAAGCGGATATATAAAGGGAATATGAATGGATATGATGGAATATGAACGGAATATCCATGGAATAGTAAAATATATTGGGATTTTAATGGAACAATCTGGAACAATAAGAAGAAACTAAATTACCAGAGGGTATCTAAGTTGATTCAAATCCGTTTTCTATAGGAAAATGGGATCTCGATGAGAATGTTTATCTTCACATGTTTTGAAGGTTACCCTCTGGTAGTTGAATACTTTGCGAACTGGAAAATCACCATGGTTATAGTAAGTAAATGATCCATAAATGTGTTAAATTGCCAGAAGGAAAATTGATTGATTCAATACCATGTTTGCTCTTCTCCAGTCGGCACTGTGGGCACCTCCTCCACGCGCACGGCCCTTGGGCATGGACACTTCTTCCCATAAGGTAAGCATCCGAGTAGCACCAGTAGAAGCCAGCCAAACCCTGGATGCCAGCCTGGCTTTGAAGATACAGGCAAGCAACTACATCTCCCACAGCCAACTCTTCCGATGTCGAAGGCTCACCCCCTCCTTGTCCGTCACCACAGCTCCACGCATCGATGTCCCCTTCTGAGTAGTCTCAATGGTTCCCAATTCGGTGATGGTGCCCACGCATGATGGTACATGTTTTTGTAACTATACAATCAACATCTACATAAACCAAACTATATCATACTATAGTTACCCTCTGATAAACATACAAAAACTATGGAGATCACCATTTTTTAATGGGTAAATCAACTATAAATGACCATGTTCAATAGCTATTATTGACATAACCAGAGGGTATATCTCCGAGCGAAGTTGCAAGCTGAAAACCGGGGAGTTCACCTGGCCGCCTGAAGCAATCCGCTAAAAGTCTAATTTCCAAGGCTACATATAAATATTGTATAAAGATTAATGTAACATTAATGTACCTAAATATTGTATAAAATTAATATACAGTACCAGTATCCTCCAACAGAAACCAAAAAAAAACTAAGGAAATGGATGAAAGGGACACCTGGAAACCGCCATGTTTTTTCCGATTCCTACAACTTGGGGATGGACCATGGGTTTCCAACACAGCATCACAAATAGAGCCTGGAAGTATATCATGATATACCACTAACACGGCTATTTCAATAGGACACATGATGATAACCGTGCATTTAGGGATATTTAGGGGTACCCTATTCTTGGACAAAACCAAATCAAAACGAATCTCTGGAGCCATACATTGTGGATTGGGTCCGCAAACGCCCATGCATATTGCGTCAACTAACTGGCTTATACATGCAGGATCGACATCAGAGGATTCATCATCAATCCTTTTTGCTTAGTACGGTAAGCCACAGTTAGCAACTGCATAAATTATATATTTCAGTTATGAGTAGGGCAAGTAGGATAAATAGGCTGAGTGCTTTTACACTCTGGTAGCTACGGAAACCATGGCCCATTTAGTTCACTGGTTTTCCTATTGTTTAATTGGTGATGTTTTATCCAGCGAAGGGCCTTTCAGGTGCTAGTTGCTGATGGTGTCATCATTTGGCGCGGCGTGGCTCGGAAATGCCCCAACTAAATGGAGGTTGAAGAAAGGAAAATCATAGGAACATCTCGAAAAAGTCGTCATGAGCCGCCACCGGTGAAAAAGAACCATCCTCCTTCAGCCGACGGCGAGTGCTATAGTAGCGCAAGGCGCGTTCTTTCGCCGCCCTCAGCCGAACGGGATACAGGTGTCCGGCAGGGTCAACAGTAGGTATATAGCTGTGGATCGATACAGGATGGGGCCCCATAGTTAGCTAAGTTGGTTTACAACTCTAATAACAAAAGTGTCTGTATGATACTTATAATTCTATTTAGATGGGCTTATTTCTCCAACTTACACCTTTTTTGCCACATCCTGTACCTATAAATAGCATTTTTAGGGGGATGAACATCCATAAATCATAATGATTTCCCAGGTATTTTGGATGTTTTCACTACAGTGCATCCCCTGGCAATTTGACCCATCTCCATATTCCAAATCAGCCATGGCTGATTGCACAGAAAAATATGGATACCCTCTGGTAAACTAACATAACTATGGAAAATCACCATTTTCAATGGGAACATCCACTATAAATGGTCATTTTCACACTAGCTATTTTGACATAACCAGGGGGTATTTGGAGGTTTCCTAAGTCATCAGAGTACCCCAGGGTATCATCCATTGAAATAGATCGGGATTTTCCATGAAGTAAATCATCCAGCTATTGGAGTACCCCCATGACCCAGGAAAGCCCCATTTTGGAGATGATGATTCGACAAAGCTCGTCATCAGAGGTGCCCGCCCTGTAAGAAGTAAAAAAAATTTAAGGTTTCACCCATCTAACTTAATCAAAGTAGTATAGTTCTATGGTGCTCTATGTATCTCTTCAAGTCCAGTTAGTCTGCTTGTAACATAAATATCATAAATCTATCGATTGCGGCCTCCACCTTTTATACTTATGCATATCCCCATGGCTTCCCATTAAACCATCTAAAAATGGGCCATGACCATAGTTAGTTGATGTCTAGAACTACACATTGTGTATTTGGCCGGTATAAACCCAATTATAAACAATCTCCAATATTACCATAAGGCCGCATTACCGATATAAACTAAATAGGTTGACCACAAAAGACCTTCACCCATTTATACCTTCACCCATTTATGGCAAACAACCCAAAAAATGTGAAAATTATTCAGGTGTCCAAACAAAGTTTACCACCGCAAGTTGCCCATGGTCGATGACAAAGCACTGGTCCAGATGTTCCCGACAACTTCGTTGTTCTTCCTCTCGTTGCTTCAACTCCTCTCATCTGCTGTGGCTTAGTTCACTCTACAAAGTGGTGCCCCAACACGAAGGTTTGTTTAACCAGTTGAAATCTATGGTTTACGGCTGTAACCATAGTCAGATGGGGTAATGTAAACCAAGATTTGACAGGGCCAAACTTGGCCGCCAGGGCCTCATGGTGTCACCATGAGTCAGTAGATTGCTGCACCGTCGAATGAAGCAGAATGTGTGTGGACATATACATACTATGTGTATGTGTCAGATATGGTTGGTGGTTTTGCCCCCACCCGCCAAAAAGCATAACGTTTGTTAGGGGATCACCATCTCAAATATGGTTGAACAATGTGAACTCACCAGCCACTAACCAAATATTATATATAATTAATTATAAATAAATATATATATATATACTGTGAAACCAGCATCCTGGCACCAAGCGCAAGAAAACATGAATGGAAGATGCAACCTGTCGCAGCTCAACGCACTCTTTGCAGAAGGCAAAACGCATATACCATGGGCCCAAAATTGGTGCCACAAATTTGGAAGCTGGGCTATATACTAATTTTAGTATTGTGGAACCCTTTTTTGGGTCCAGAATCTGGCCCCTGTTTTGGGGCCACAAAACACAAACAGGAGCAAGTCAATACGGGCAGCAAGTGTGCTACTGCCGACGCAAGCTGACAGCAGCACATACCCGTGATACTGTATGAACATATAGAGAGACATACACTAGGAACACATGGGACTACAACTACATATCATACATTACATCCCACCTCTCATTGAATCAGGTATGTCAGGTGCCTTTTCGACTCTTGGTTTGGCCAGCTCCCTGCACCATCATCCAGAAAAACTGGAACCCTCAATTTTTGGCGTCCCTCCAACAATTCCGCTTCAGAATTGCTAATCTACTCCATACTTTTGGTATGGAATATCAATTGGGCTATATTCTTTGCGTGAACCCTCTGGTGTCCTCAAACATGGGTGGAAAATTCATCAAGTGTTTATATGGGGATGGGTCAAAAGCCTGGTACCTAGTGAACCCCAAAATAGCTGGTAAATGGATGTTCATCCCACTAAAAATTGTATTAATAGGTATTTATCCATACCCATATCTATTTTCATAGGTAGTTAAATAATTACTTGGAGGGTCTAAGTAGTGATAAAAATGGTATGGGATCCTCACAATCCCCGGTTGAATCATGTTCCTGTTCTTGAGGAGTTTCCGAATCATAGTGTACATACCAGTAGTACCGCACAAGGCGGTGGCGGAAGTTTCAGAATAGGAAACCTATAGGAGACGTTGGTTGTTGTGAATCACGGATGGCAGAGCGAATCCACTGATTGACCGAAAGATGGTTGGAGTTGTGTTTGCTGGAGTGGTTGCAATGGTTGCAGTGGTCACCTCACCCACAACTGCTGGATGTAGTGTGATGTACTGCAACTGTAGTTGTAGTTGTAACGTAGTGGAGTTGTAGTTGTGGTGTAATGTAATTAGTGTAGTGTAGTTGCAGTCATATAGTTGTAGTTGTAGAAGTTGTAGTTGTAGTTGTTGTTGTAGTTGTTGTTGTAGTTGTTGTAGTTGTAGTTCTAGTTGTTGTTGTTAGTTGTTGTTGTTGTAGTTGTTGTTGTAGTTGTTATAGTTGTTATAGTTGTTATAGTTGTTATAGTTGTTATAGTTGTTATAGTTGTTATAGTTGTTATAGTTGTTATAGTTGTTATAGTTGTTATAGTTGTTATAGTTGTTATAGTTGTTGTAGTTGTAGTTGTTGTAGTTGTAGTTGTTGTAGTTGTAGTTGTAGTTGTTGTAGTTGTTGTAGTTGTAGTTGCTGTTGTTGTTGTTGTAGCTGTAGCTGTAGTTGTTGTGTGGTTGTAGTTGCTGTGTAGTTGTTGTAGTTGTAGTTGTTGTAGTTGTAGTTGTAGTTGTTGTGGTTGGTGTTGTTGTTGTTGTTGTTGTTGCTGTTGCTGTTGTCGTCGAAGTTAAGGTAGTTAAGTTAGTGAAGTTAGTTAAGTTAATCAGTGTCTACTTTTTCGACATCTTCACGTCAAAAAAAGCTCAAAACCCTCACTTTTTTACACTTTTGACTTCGAAATGTGCTTCGCGCCACAACGGCGTGCACTTTTTCGACACTTTTTCGACATCCGAACCTCCAAAAGTGGTCCGAGACCGTCAGTTTTTAACACTTTTGACTTCAAAATGTGCTTCGCGCCACAACGGCATGCACTTTTTCGACATCTCAGCTTCCAAAAGTGCTCCGAGAATGTGTTTTGTACATTTTGACTTCCAAATGTGCTTCGCGCCACAACGGCGTGCACTTTTTCGACATCGCAACTTCCAAAAGTGCTCCGAGAATGGTGTGTTTTGTACATTTTCACTTTGAAATGTACTTCGCGCCACAACGGCGTGCACTTTTTCGACATCGCAACTTCCAAAAGTTGTCCGCTCCTCTAGTGTTTTGTCCATTTTGACTTGGAAATGTGCTTCGCGCCACAACGGCGTGCACTTTTTCATGTCTCATCTGGCCAGCTGGCTCCGCACCCGCCGCTTTAGCGAGCGTACTTTTCGACCCTCCGGAGCCTCAAATCATTGGAAAAACACAGTGAATCGCGACTTTCCTATCTTTTCGCGCATCTACCTCTTCTTTCTTCTGATCTTGTCTCTTCTGACTCTTCTCACCTCTGCTTTTCAACTGTCCATATTGTCGGAAGTTTCACTTCTAAACTTCCTTCGATGATATACACAAGTACATATATAATTAAATATATTCACAGTATGTATTCCTTGGTTGTATAAGTGTTATATTTCCATTTATTGAGTAAACCGTTGGTGCCTGTTCACCGTATCTGTATACAGGCGCATGGAAGGGCTCCTTCCCCCGACGACACGCGGCTGCGGCCAATTGTTCCTGCAGCGCTTCATGGTGCAACAAGCAAATGACTCAGAGATAGTGAGGGAACAAATGCAAGCATATTGCATACTTGTAACATACAGGTATGTATCTCTATATATGTATATGTATTATAAATTATATACATTACATTACATTTCATTTCATTACATTACATTACATTACCTTATATACACATGTATCAATTATAGTTTATATAGATATTATATATATATGTGTCTCATAATATATGTACATTATATCATATTATATCTACATATACTTATATAATCTTATATACACATATGTGTAACAGTGTATGTGTGATAATCTATATGTGTAGGTAAAGTCTATCTGAAAATAGGGAAGCCATTGGAGACAGCATTAACGGCACTAACGGTTTTAGTCATTGGATGGACCCAACGGGTACCCGATTTTCAATCAAACCCAGATGAGCCATGCTGGAAACCTTGATAGATTCTTAGGTCGTAAGAACATGCTTACGCACATGCTTGCGCATCCTTACGCTATTGGGGGTTTCTCTTACGCGGGGATCTGGGCTTTCTATGGGCTTACGCAAGGCTTACGCGAAAGTAAGTCACCACAAAGTCATCTTTTTTCGTGACACGTTCCTTACGCGGCCTTTCTTTCAACAGAGTATTTCAGTGCGTCATTCATCATTTGTCGAATCCGAAGATGAAGATGTTGAAGAAGAGGATGTTGAGGACGAGCCTGAACCGTCAGCTTTCAATGTTGCCTGTTGCGGTCGACGCTTTCGAGCCTGCTTTTCGGGGCTTACGGGGCCATTCGGGCCATGGGGCGACGTTTCGGGGCCATGGGGCAACTGTTCAGATAAAGCAGGTGGGCCTTATGCGTTCCTTACGCATACCTTACGCGTTCCTTACGCGAAAAAACACATTCTTTTTTCAAAATTGGTTTCGTGGCAGCAATGAACATTTCTCAACCCGAACAAATTGGAACCGTGGAACCGGAAAAACCGGTTTCTATAGGAACCGAACCGTTTAGGAACCGAACCGACTTCCTGTAAAACCGAACCGAACCGTGGCCACACTGGTTTTGCCTAGTCTGCAATATCTGGAGCTCGGTTTCCCTTCCATTTGACTGTCATCAACGTGACCAAGCATATTGACCCTCATGTTTCTTTCATTCTTTAGCCAAAAGGTGCTTTTCAAGCATGCCTTACGCAGGCTTACGCACAACATTCAAAGCCAAAAACCTTGCGCAGCACTTACGCCACTGCAGTTTTGGCTTACGCGAAGCCACCTTATGACCGTCCCCTTACTCACCAATACATAAAGAGTTTATAGCGCAGCTCAGATGTGACTGACGTATGGGATAGCTAAAACTCATGGACCCCCATTTTGGAACGGGTAAATACAGGAAACTAGACTCGACTACTAGACATGACCAGTTTTTTCGTTCTATTTTTGTACCTCAATTTGAACCACGAAAAACATATTGGTCCAAAGTCTGGATCTATGCTTGGACACGTATCGAGAGAGCTGGATTGAAACCACATGTCCTGTTCGTGGAACAGCGCTCACTTCGCTCATCTTGCTCCGTGTGAAAGACCAAAAAAAAGTTGGGATTTGAATCTGTTGTCTAGTTCCTAATCATGAAAGCGCGTTGTCCTAAAATTGATGTACCCCCAAATCATCCAAGTCATGAATGACCATTTTTGTTATGAACCCTAATATTCCCCAAAGATATCTCCACTTCCCTGGATATGAATCACACAGGACCGGTATGGTTTTTCTTAGAGGCTGCAAGTGGCATAACTTGGTACCAGCAAGAAGAGGTACAGTACATCCTCAAGCATTTTAATTCCAAAAAATATATTCATTTGCCATTATATGTGAGTCATTACCAGAGGTTACATCCAATGATTGATCCGTTAGTCATCCCTTATTTATTGTTATGAATCATTAACATTATTAACCATAGATTTTCCCGACACCATGGGCTATTAATGGGATGACTCTCATTATTATCCAGTTGTAATCCATTCATAGCCCATTAAATCGCCATTTGTTATCGTAAAATCATGTACAATCACAATTTACCATTGAGTAATCATTAAGCATAATTCCCCTTCTTATCAACCATTATTAACATTGATTATAAGCATTGTTAACAATCGACTTTCCCCAAACCATGGGGCTATAATCAGCCGTAACCCAAATTATTAACCATTCTGAACCAGTATTAACAAGTATTACAGTATATAACACTTCTTAACCATCGATTTTCCCAAACCATGGGGCTGTCGAAGTTCGATTGTCCTTCATCAAGGCTTTCCAATCGCCCTCGGTGTGTTTCTCCCACCTCGGCTTGGCAAGGCCAGTCAAAATATGGATGGAAAACCAGCCAAAAAAAACAACATGGGGATTCATATAGTGATTAAATTGGGATTAATATTAGTGATTAATATGGGATGAATATGTGATTAAGTACATGTGATTGTTTTTTGGGATTCAATGAGGATTGGTTTATTACATGGGGATATGGAGGGTACAAGGTGTGTTTTGCAGTTATAAGTTGGTTTATAACACCGTTGACTATAGATCTGGGATAACTTATAGCATGTAGTAATTCACTGCCTAAAAAGAGCGGCTATTTTCGAGTTTGGGACAACAAAAAAACATGCATCCGCATGTTTTCCGACAAAACATGGCTGCTTGGATCTTCTTGGTGGTCTGAAACCCCATGAGATAGTAAAGGATGTTACATACCCAAATCATCTACACATGGGTAATGTTCCACCGCTATGTCAAATTACCGGAGAGTGGCATAGTTTTTTTAAAACCACAAATCAAACTTCCTCATCATATCCCCATTTACTGGGAAAAAAACGAAAAACAAAACTTTATTGGTCAACCCTCCTCATGGGAAAAAATCTGAAATAGGGACTGGCACTCCAATGGTTTATCATCCTACGAGGTGCAGCTCAGTGATCTGGTTTACGAACTAAAAATAACGATTGATATACATATGTGTATATATATATATATGTGTATATACAATATAATATGAATATTATACATATGTATACTATATATATATTATACATGCATATATTATATATATATGTATAGTATATATATATATGTATATTATATATATATATATACACCTACCATGTGCGCAAGCCAATGATTCAAGTTATGATGGCCCCCAAAAATCGCAATTCGGACCTGGCGCAAAAAGCACCTGGCTTGTGGGCCAAGCAGCTCATGGGTCTTTGTGGCGAGCGATGGAATGGAGTTCTTCTCCTGCACAGAAAGCAATGTTTAATCATGAATATAATGATGATTAACTAATGATCTTCATGATATCATGTAAATCTATTAACATAACGATATCCATTAACCATGATAAACATGTAATTAATGTTTACTTTACATGACATCATGTTATATCATGATTGTCATGGTCAATCTGTCTGGCAGTCCAAAACAAAATTATACAAAGTCTGCTAGTTATGTTACAAGGTGATGCCCCCCCCCAGTTATAAGTTAGTTTATAACCCTCATTAAGTATAGGCAGTATAGGTACGGTATATCTATGTATATCTACCATAAACCCAAGTGAAATTAGAGTAATTTCATGTTATCTCTGGTAATTTAACATAGCTATTGAAAATGGCCATAGAAATAGTGAGTTTTCCCATTAAAAAAGGTGAATCTTTCCATAGCTATGTCAGCTATAACCAGAGGGTACACCAACTTAGCGAACTCACAAAGTGTAGCACCACAGGAATATCGTCGAAAGGATTTTCCAGGTCCATGGAGTCGACGGGCTTTGAAAAACTGGGCTTGGTATCCCATCTGCGAAGCATGGTGCCACACGTGTTTTGTTGGGATTTATGGTAGGAAAACCATGGGAAAACCATAGGAAAACCATTTGGTAAATAGTCCAGCACCACGGTTCGCATATGGGTATGTAAATCCCTATGCTGACAGGGATGGGGAGATTCATGGAGATTAGCGTACAATAGCTGGAGATGTGACCCCTTTAAGCAACACAATGATTTGTTTGTTGCTGTTCGATTGTTGGTGTTCTGCTAAGAGCAGCATGTCATCTACAAAACAAGGAGATGTATGATGTTGTAAGTTTTATATAATCGCTTTTTGAAGCACAATTGGAGATTCAACACGTCAACCAGTAAAAATAGAAGTTCTAACCATCACTTTGAAACTTCTTGCTTGAATCAACAGAACTTAACAGAACTGGGAATTTTCAAATAGGACTTCTCCCATTTTGTTCAACCCACTTGGAGATTCGAAAATGAACACTGTCACCCCGCGCCAATTCCGCTTGCTCGACTCTCTGTCGCCGATATTGATCTGCCTGGAGAAGCGTCACGAGCCAACTCACACGAGAAAAGGTGCCCCAGTAAACCAACAAATATGATTGTTTTTACCCTCTGGTAATTTAACGTAGCGAAAATCACAATGTTTAAGAACGGTAAACAATCTATTTCATTCTATTTCTATGGACCATGTTCAATAGTAAACTGTTGACATAACCAGAGGGTAGCCACGTTGAATGATGTTCGCTGAGTTCAGCGGGAGGAGAGTGAGTGGATCAATTCATCCAGCGATCACTACAAAAAACCTTGCCCAATTGCGGAAAAATCATCTGCAAATGCTGGTTTAATATGTTTACCCTCTGGTAAACTTTCACATAACTATGGAAAATCACCATTTTATAGCTGGGTAAATCAACTATTTCAATGGCCATGGCTTCAAGTTCGCTAAAACTGTAAACGTTTACCAGAGGGTAATATGTAGAAAATCGTCAGCAATGAGGATTTAACCATCTTGGGAATCTAAAAATCATTGGATGTCCCAAAAAGCACGGGTCACGACGGTCGTGCTGTGGTTCAAACAATGCCATGTTTACCATCCAGTCATTACCATAAATATATGTGGTATACCGCTATACCATTCCCAGTCATGGCTAGTTTGAATGGCATTGTTTTACCCCCACTAAAAATTCCCATGATATCACCATGTTTCATCGTAAAATCACCATTTCCCACGAAATATTCCCATTGATAATTCCATGATATTCAAAAAATACCATAGTTCTTGGAGTTATGTCTTTCATCATATACCATAGTTATAACTACATCCCATGTTACACCATTAAAAAAAAAACTACAGCAGATGGGAGCCAACCGATGCCATGACCTCCATTTGGGTTAGACTTTGTCTTACCTGGTTGGTGGTTGAGCCTACCCCTCTGAAATATATGAAAGTCAATGGGAAGGATGATCCCATTTGTTACCCTCTGGTAAACTAACATAGCTATGGAAAATCACCATTTTTAATGGGAAAACTCACTATAAATGGCCATTTTCAATAGCTATGTTAAATTACCAGAGGGTATGGAAAATAAAAAATGTTCCAAACCACCAACCAGTTACTGGTGCGTTTTACGTAGGGTTGCTGGATGGGTTGCTGGTTGCTGGGATGATTCTTACTAGTGAGCCAGTGGATCATTCACGAAAATTCCCTGCGTTTAGCACCAGTAAGTTGTCTACTCACTTGAATTATCCTGAACACATAAGAATATTATAATAGGGACCCGCTTCTTATGGTTATATAATAGTTAGCACATGTATATACAAGTAGTATTTATAATATATATATATATATATGTATAAATTTCATATACACAGTATTACACAAAGGGCAATTTTCTACTCAACTCAACCTGATTACCTCGTGCTGGGTCATTTGCTTGTTGCCACCGCGCAGGAATTCGCGTCTTCGTACATTGGTTGCTATACAGCTGCTTCATCCCCAAATTCTTGGTGGGTATCAGTCATAGCCTCCAAGCATCCCGTGATTCATAGGGTAAACTCAATTCGTAGCCCTTTGACTCTCATATACATACATATAATATATATATATATAAATATATATATATAGATAGATACATACACATTTATATAATTATGTACGATATATATATATATATAATCATATAATATATTATAATATATTATATATACAGGGAATGTTGATACAACCGTAGCTCAGATAGCTCAGCTCACCGCGCCCTTTTCAAGGGCGGGCCCCACCATCTTGGCATTCTGCTCGTCCAACAGCTGTCGGTATTCCAAACGCTTTTGGACCACCACATCCTCGGCCGTTGAGGGCCGCGTTTTGGGTAGAAAAATGGGACTTTTTTTTCCTCATAGTTCCTCATAGTTCCGATTCCAACATGGAGATCATAAAGATCGTTGGAACCTTAGAAAACTAGAAACTCTATTTCCAGATTCTCCCGAATCTAGATGCAAAAAAAAAAAAGTAATTTCGTGAATCTTGAAATGATGGGCATTAAAGAGAATCGGATAATCTATTTTTGGAAATCCATCAATTTTACTAAGTTTGGGCAGTTCCTGTCTATTGACGGGCTGTTATTTATGGTTTTCCTCCCGAGAATTGAAATCAACTAACACCAAAATTACACCATTCCCCGAGAAAAAAAAAACTATGAAATCCTATAATGAAATCAAATGAAATCCGACAAAATCCCGATCAAAACTCCATGAAATCCACATCAAATCCCATGAAATCACCACTTAAAACCCAGATTTCCATCGATTTCCCCCGGCTGCAACGGCCCCGACCGGGGCCCCAGGGCCCCCGACGCGTCGATCCTGGTTGGCACGTTCCGGGCCCCAGGGAGGTACCACCTTGGACTTCTCCGTCTCCTGGGTCACTGGATCCCGTTTTTTTTTGGGGTGGTATAATTTCCAACAACCATACATATAGATATATATATATATACACACATTTATATTGATATTGATATTGATATTGAATGATATTGATAGAGATATACAAATAGATATACAAATAGATATACATATAGATGTATGTAATCATGATATATAATAATATATCTAGGAATTATTAATTATATATATATATATGATATTATACTATATAGATATCACATGTTGTTAATAATTGTAGACAACTATAGTATATCTACCCCCGAACGATAGCTACGTTGGTGAACATAACTCCAATAGCAGGTTCATTAGGGATCAAAACATAGATAACTGGGGATAATCATTAGGGATAAGTTGGAACATGTTATTTGGATTATAATTAGGGATCTATGAGAATTTAGTGAATCCCTTTGGATAAATTGTTAGATTCATGTACCAGGTTATCAGGATTCTGGTTAACCTGAGAAGTAGAACTTCATTTAAATTCATCTATGAATCTTCGGATACTGATTTCCGAAAATAATTATGTTTGGTTCAAGAACAATGGACACTTAACTTAGTAATATACCATCATTGTGTTTTTTTAAATGGCCAGGCAACCATGGAAATTCAAAATGTGCGCCCCAGGTTGTTAGCTGAATTGGTTTAAGACTAGGCTAACGATCAGGTTTATGGTAGTTTTTTTTGTTCGAAGTAGTTTTTATAGCGGTTTTTTCATCCAACTTATAACTGGGGGAACTACCTTGAAATTGTTGATTGAATCATAAAATTGAAACTTAAAAGAAAACAACCATTTTGGCATTATACACCACTTTTGAGGTCCAACTTATTCAATCCCTCCGTTTTGAGCTCTCCATGTTTGAAAACGACCATAGAGACGGAACATCCACCATGCGTATATATGTTTTTCCTAGGAAAATCCCATGAATGTCCAAATCCACGTAGGTTTCGCCCACGTTTCCCGGGCGCCTGCGCAATGCCAGTAGCCCTGCACCCGACCGCCGCAGAGTTTTTGCCGCGGGGCGTGGCGGACAAGGAAGACTCGCAGGGGTGATCCTGCCAGCTTCGAATCTTAGGGTAGAACTATAAGATCTTAGGGATTTAACCACCAAAAATGCTGATTTGATCAAGCAAAAATGGATTTGAGTTTTTTTGTTAAATCTTTGCAAAGTTGGTTTACAACTAATATAACTGTTGACTTAAGGAAGAACCATGGGGAAACAATGGGTTATGATGGGGAAAATGGGGATAACCGACAAAAAAAATAAGGGGTGTGCCATGGTGTGCCCCCACTCCATTGGTAAGTTATAACTGGGGAAAACTACAAGGTTCAACCATGAAAAATTGGGGAGGTTGATTTGTAATCGTGTTGCCATGTGTTGCCTGTACCAACAGAAACAAGGATTTATAGATCAAACATGAGGGAATTATAGCATTGTACCATAACCCTTGGGTGTGTACAACATACCTAGAGTGCGTAACGTTAAGACACATTATAGCGACAAAAAAAAGTGTCCACATTTCCACTATTTTGGGATATTTTGGGATTGGATTTTACTTGTTGTCTTATTTTTTTTGGTTTCTAAACTATAAGCAAATTAAAATATGTAATGCTTTATTTACGCATGAGTATCCGCATGCATGTCCATGAATGTGAGGAAACACAACATCTACGCGTACACATTGGATGATGCTGGCATGGCAACTACAGCAATGAATGCTTGTTGGTCCGACATATTATGGTCGACCATATAAAATACCCATTCAGTGATATTGTTTTTTGACGGGTGATAAAGAAAACATATATCCACAGATCCTGGTTAAACCAGGGTATGCTCATAATTTGGAAGATTTTGGAAGCCCAGGCCCAGTCAGTTTTCATTAATTTTCTATATACCCTCTGGTAAACTTTCACATAACTGATGGGAAAATCACAATTTTTCATGTGATTTTCCATAGTTATGCAGTTTACCAGAGGGTAAACATGCCTCTAGATCTCTAATGATCTCTAAATTGGATTGATTTATCCCACTTTGGATGGAAACCCCCAGAGTTGATGTGGAGTTTACTGCCATCGCTACCGTACGTCCTTTCTGCGACTGGCTGCTGAGGATATGCTCCAAAGATTGGAGCGCACCTAGCGGCGCCATCCCAGTGATCTGGGTCCAGAAATATGGGATACCGTTGTGGCCACTAGGTGGATGTTTTTGGGCAAATATGAAAATAACACAAAGTTACACAAAGTTTTAATGGCTACCACTACCACTACCACGTAAGTTTTGGCACTTTTAGATACTTTTAGATACTTTTAGCACTTGCTCTACGTATTATAAATTAACTTATTTTCTCATCCATGAGCTTTGGGTGTTTTCGTAACAGACGAACTTGTATCATTCAGCCTCGATTGTTTTTGCTGGTAGCATGATAAGCCTTGCTCCCACATATATCGCAATACATTGAGGAGTCTCCGGGACCCGTCATTGACAGCCCATCATGCTAGCCTTTTTTCGAAGGCCTATGTTGCCTGGGTCAAAATCTACAATGCCATTGCTGAGGATATCATTTTCCACAAGCGAACTGGGATGAGAGCTGAGGTAAAGAATTCTATGGCCGAAGCAAATGGTCAGTGCTCCATAAGGTTCCAATATTTGTTGTATTGTAGAGGGTGATCAATGTCTAAACTGAGGCAAGTGGAAAAAAAATAACTATAAGGTTCCAGGAATACCTAGAATACGTGTGCAAAAGGACACTCCCGATGTAGCGCCGAAACCATTCTCTCACTCTTATATGTTTCTACTTATCGATTCTAATCCATTTAAATATCTCTTACTACTACTCTTATACTTCCTCTATACCCTATTTACTTCCCTTTCTTTATCTGTCCGTGAGTCGCATCCTTAATGTTCTCTCATGTTCAGCCTTGAGCTCTGCAATGAAATATCACTTTGGATGACAGCAAGCACGTTCTTCAGAAGTGCCAAGGACAGCAGCAAGTCTCCGAGTTTGTGACTTCTCTGTGTCTTCGCCCCAGTGCCAAGACTCCAGCCAAGAGGACTTGGCTAAGGATTACTTGCAGCACAAAAACACGAAGTCCAAGAGAAGTACTAGAATAGTTACGTGAGTTAGAAACACAAAAAAATAGATAAACTACATAAATTACAATGTAAATATATGTATAGATATTAATCATTATAGATATTACATATATATAATATATATATAATATGTAATATGTATATATATATATATATTAATCATATAAATAGCGGACAAAATTATATGTTAAACGTAATACCATGCACAAATTGGGGTCGTCCCCTATCGGTTGTGAGGATTTCAGTATTCCCGGAGGTATCACAAATGTGGTATCGGTATAGGGTCGTGACCTATCGGTTGTGAAGGTTTTGTGCAACCTCGGAAAGGCCAAGGCGAAGCAAAGACAAAATTACTGTAGTATTACAATAATTTTGTCGGTTGCTCATATACATAATCATTCCCTATGGATCCAGCCGTACCTTCTTAGGAAGTGGGACTGGGGTATGATTTAGGGGGTTAGCCGTACCTTCTCAGACAATGGCCATGGATCCATAGGGATTAATGTCAACCCCGGATTAATAAACCATGGTTTATTAATTAGGGGGGTACTCCCCAAATAGTCATAATCTGATACTTAAAATGGTATCCCCCCAATTAAACAGCCGTTTGGGGGTTTATTAATCCAGGGTTGACATTTATAATGTTATAGAACATTAATTTTGGGTCATGAATTTACCATATAATTTACCATAATTTAATAATGTTCACCATCACATTTAAATTAATAATGTTTAACATCCACATTTTTTTGGTTGCCTCAAGTCGATGGGAAAACCCGCCTCGGGCCAAGATTGCTCCGATGCCTCGGGCCCCTCCGGCCACGGAGGCTCCGGTCCGCAACTTTCTGGCAGCTCCTGAAAAAAACATGGGAAAAGCCATGGGAAAATGGTGATTGTTAACCCAGGGTTTAATGATGGCGTTTGGTTGGGGTCAATTCATGTCAATTCTATCCAGCGCGTCGCTCATCATCTGGCGCCCTGTGTCTGCATTGGCGACCGCCTGACTTTCCCAAATGCCGGGTTGTCTGCCAGAGACTCAAAGACCACTAGCAAATAGCTCGGAGTTCAATGGCTCATTTTGCAGATTTTGATTGTCGTTCTTTGATTTCTGATAGCTAACTTGACACATAACTTGGTTAATCTGGGTTTATGGAGGGTATAACTATATAGTTAATGGGGTTTATAACAACTGAACCAACTTATAGCAGGGTCGCCCCACCTTGTATGATATTGTCATTGTATGATCTATATTTAATGTGATTGTCATCAATATGTTTCTTACATACTTTAATTTGTTTGAAAAAAGCAAATATGGCATGGAATGGGAATGTGTTGTTTCCGATGTTGGTATATTACATGCTAGATTCCCACCTGAGAACTCAAGTAATTATGGATCTTGACTTGGTTTTACCTTCAGAGAAAAGATAAACATTAGTAGGCCCCAACATGATAGGAGAACTGGACGGCTGCAAATTATGCAGTAAATATATTCTAAAACTTCTGTCAAAACGTCTATCTATTGAGCTCCTGAGTTTCCAGTGATCAAGGAAACTATTGCGTTGCTTGCAAATCATTTTGATGTTCAGGATCGTGCAAGCAGTGCAATTGCTTTCCTAAACTGGAAATACACAAACATCCCGCCGGGGCGGGAATGGAACGTGTAGGCGTTAGCAATTCACTTCTCGGCACATTTGAGCAACACTGGGATTTACCAGTGATTTTGTCTCTGGCGATGATGAAAAATGTCTAATTCTGGTTGCGTTTTCTGTTTTTTGTGTGTTTTACCTCAGCGACAAGCAATTTTTGTCAAAATGCCGTTACCTCCACGGATGCATCTCTGGGATCCGATGTGCCTATTTCCACAGCGGCGTGCGTTTTTTACTCGCTGACTTGTCTTGCCTACAACTTGGCCACTTGAGTGCCACACAGTTGAAACAAGTTGTCATGTTCAGCATGTGTGAATCTCCATTGCCAACTGCGGATACGCAAAGGTGTGGAAGTGCAAGAGAACGTACTATGTGGTTGCAGTCGCAATGCACGTTAACATCCCACCCCACCCCACCCCACCCCACACCACCCCCAAGTGAAGATCATGTAGCGTAGCATGAAGTGCAAGTGAAGATCATCTAGCGTCGCATGAAGTGCAAGTGAAGATCATGTGGCGTAGCATGAAGTGCAAGTGAAGATCATGTAGCGTAGCATGAAGTGCAAGTGAAGATCATCTAGCGTAGCATGAAGTGCAAGTGAAGATCATGTAGCGTAGCATGAAGTGCAAGTGAAGATCATGTAGCGTAGCATGAAGTGCAAGTGAAGATCATCTAGCGTAGCATGAAGTGCAAGTGAAGATCATCTAGCGTAGCATGACGTATATGTGGAAGTGCAAGAGAACGTGCAGCAGCGTAGCATGACGTATGTGTGGAAGCGCAAGAGAACGTACTATGTGGTTGCAGTCGCAATGCACGTTAACATCCCACCCCACCTCACCCCACCCACACCACCCCCAAGTGAAGATCATGTAGCGTAGCATGAAGTGCAAGTGAAGATCATCTAGCGTCGCATGAAGTGCAAGTGAAGATCATCTAGCGTAGCATGAAGTGCAAGTGAAGATCATGTAGCGTAGCATGAAGTGCAAGTGAAGATCATCGTCGCATGAAGTGCAAGTGAAGATCATGTAGCGTAGCATGAAGTGCAAGTGAAGATCATGTAGCGTAGCATGAAGTGCAAGTGAAGATCATCTAGCGTAGCATGAAGTGCAAGTGAAGATCATCTAGCGTAGCATGACGTATATGTGGAAGTGCAAGAGAACGTGCAGCAGCGTAGCATGACGTATGTGTGGAAGTGCAAGAGAACGTGCAGCAGCGTAGCATGACGTATGTGTGGAAGTGCAAGAGAACGTGCAGCAGCGTAGCATGACGTATGTGTGGAAGTGCAAGAGAACGTGCAGCAGCGTAGCATGACGTATGTGTGGAAGTGCAAGAGAACGTGCAGCAGCGTAGCATGACGTATGTGTGGAAGTGCAAGAGAACGTGCAGCAGCGTAGCATGACGTATGTGTGGAAGTGCAAGAGAACGTGCAGCAGCGTAGCATGACGTATGTGTGGAAGTGCAAGAGAACGTGCAGCAGCGTAGCATGACGTATGTGTGGAAGTGCAAGAGAACGTACTATGTGGTTGCAGTCGCAATGAACGTTAACATCCCACCCCACCCCACCCCACCCCAGCTTCCTCAAATGAGCACGACTACACGTACGGTTTTTGACCCGGTGGCGCAAACATGCTGTGGATACATTTGGGATACCCTCTGGTAAACAGCTACAAAAAACTATGGAAAATCACCATTGTTCATGTGTAAATCAACTATTTGGACTCGGCAATGTTCAAGTTCTAAAACTGTTGACATCACCAGAGGCTAACATGTCTCCTGAGATCAGAGAAGGTTTCTCTCTGATCTCAAAACCAACTATTCAAGTCTAGTTTCGGGACATCATTTCGGGACAATGGTTTTATTACCATCCGGTTATTTAACAGTTCGCCATGGACAATCACCATTTGTAATAGGTAAACCATCTATAAATGGACCATTTTCCATGGCTGTGTTAGTCGTAACCAGAGGCTAGTTTTATTCATCACTGGATCCAACCCGACACCCTTTCGGAGAGAAACATCATATTTCGCTGGTTGGTGGTTGACCGGTCACCCCTCTGAAAAATCATGGAGTAAGTCACTTGGGATCATTATTCTCAATGTATATTATATATATATATGAAAAAGTCATAAAATTCATGTTCCAAACCACCAACCAGTTGCTTTCGATTCTTGCTAAACCTTCCCAAAAGATATACTCTCCTGGAATCAACCATGGCGATTGGACATCGTTTTCTATGATTTTCCCCATTGAAGCCTCCATTTATCATAGATATTGTTGTATCAAAGAAGAATAATTTAATCGAACCCAGCTACTGACCGTTATTAGTTGTGTCATTGTTGGACTTTGTCTTTGTCTTAGTTGGCAACTATGGTAAGAACCTTTGGGCAGGCATGGTGTTTCAACCCAAACACATCATCACAACAACTGCCTGGGGCTTAAGTACGCCATACTTAAGCGGTTTTCATAGAGGGACATGGTTAAAACCCTTAAGTTTCAAAGTCACTGGTGGAAGCTGTGCGACAAACGTTACAAATGAAACGCGCGAGAAGTACGGCGTACTTAGCATGGTCGGACCCCCCCGACATCCATAAAAGTAGCTATGTGGACGTCACATGGACGGGGGGGGGGGCCAAGCCTTCTTAAGTACGCCCGTACTTAGGCCTCCTCGTTTTGAACTAAACAATCATGATGCAATGATCCGGAGGATTCCTGTGTTCACGTGTTCTTTTCTCCAAGTTGTTGGGATCACTAAAAACTTTCCCAGCAACCATCATACCCACACATTTTGGGGGTTGTTTATTTTTCACTGCTTTCCCGTTTTTCTTCATTTTCCATGACTAGGGCTAGCAAGGCAGTAGTGCAGGTTCTCATGAGAAATGTGTCTAGTGGATTTCCCATAAAAAATCGCCATGTTGACACCAGATGGTATACAGTTATAGCCTATAGCCCTTTTCACAGTTATAACTGGCTGAGAAAACCTCATTCAATGATATATTTGTCACCTTACTTGCAGGAGTTATAACCCATGTACTGTAATTATATCTGTTAAGGCTCATACCTGTAGAAAAAATACAAAGATGCACATTCCTTCACACATTCTTTGGCTCGCAAGAAGATTCCCCATAAGGTGTGCGCCAGTTTGTTAGATCAGTTGGTGCCAGTAACTCCAATAAATTGGGTTTATGGTAAATATCATCTGGTTGGTAGTTTTAACACGTTTTAACCATCTTGAAAAATGATGGAGTTCGTCAATGGGGTTCGGATGACATCCCCAGCATATGAAATGGAACATCATCCAGTCATCTTTGAAACCACCAACCAGTAATTACCTAAACTAACTTATACCCTCTGGTAATTTAACATAGCTATGGAAAATCCATTATAAATGGAGGTTTTATTGGGAAAATCATCTGTAAATGGTCCATTTTCCATAGCTATGTTAAATTACCAGAGGGTAACTGGGGGGGCACCACTTTGCAGTTCCATTCGAAAACTACCAGTACCGTTGGTCTCACGGCAGCGCGGTGTACCAAATCTGTCGCCTCCTTCGACCTCGACCTCCGGGACTCCGCGGCGGGTGAGTGGGGCGTCTTCTGCGAGCCGCGGCAAGAGCTGGCGCTGGCACCTGCGCGCAACGGGGGGCAGCGTTGAACCATAGGAAAAGCAAAGGAAAACCTTAAGAAAACCTTCGGAAAATGATGATTTAATCGAGAAAAATGGAATGTCATGAGAGTTATAGATGATTTATGATAAGTGGCTGAAGATACCTCCAATTTCACTGATGGTTTATGGGACACAAATAACTATAGTTGGAGGTGCAGTTGGGGTGAAAATCATGAGTAATTCATAGTTATGGCACATAATCTTCATAGTTGGTAATAGCCGCACTATACACCAGTAATGGGTATAACTATGGTAATACAGTAATCGTCATAAGTTGAGATATAACCCCTATAACTATGGTGGAACTGCACCCCCAAGTCGTTCTATGAGTATCTACGGTTGGTGGTGCCCCATAGTTGGCTAAGTTGGTTTATAACTAGGCTAACGACCTGGTTTATAGTAGATCTGGTAGATATTATACAAATTGTTAATGAGTTCCATTGCGTATAGTCTATACTTAAGTAATGGAGGTTATATTATAAATCCACTGAAAAACCACTGGGGTATCCTCGGCATGACCGAATCCCCATCAACATGATATGGACCTCCAAAAGACCAAATCTGATATGAAATCAGGGTTTCTAGGTGGTATGTAATATTCGACGGAAGGGATTGTTATAACTTTTCATAACTTGAAACTTGATAAACTTGTAACTGCAAGTTTCATGAAAACGGCAGGGCTAGAGAAAAACATACCATAAGTATCACTGTGAGTCAAGAGGATTATAAGGTTCACGTGGAAAATCAATGGGATTTTCTTGCCTTGCCTGCACTGTCCTAGCCGCTTGTTTTAATTTACCTGTTGCCACATATATATATATAATATATATAAAACATATAATATATATATAACATATAATATATATATATAACATATAATATATATATATATATATAGTATATACAGTATATATAATATACATCCGCCAATCTCATGACTATCCCATTCAATCTCAGTATATCCGTTTGTTCAATATCCCCATTCAATTCGACTTGCTTTGGCTTGGGCTTGGGGGGACTGGGCGCAGCCTCTACCGATGCCCTTGGCGCTCAAATCTGCTGGCTGAACCTGCTTTCACCAGGACTTTGGCAGCTGCGCCCACGGGGTAAAATTTAGGGAACACGATATGGTGTAAACTTTGAGAACATAGGGAAATCAGCCCTGAAATGCCCTGAACATATCTTGATGATCCTGATGTTCAATGGATTTCATTGGATTACATTGGTACATTTCTGGCTAACGCATCTGGCAATTTTTATCAGCCCTGGCTCAAACGTTGTCTTAAATGAGTAAACCAACCAACCATGAGGCATGCGGAATCTTGATGATTTGTTTGTCCCTTGCTCCAGTTCACACTGTATACATCATGTTATCAGCACAGCTGACAACTCATGAGGACTCCATTATGTTTCCCTTATTTTTCCCTGAAAAAACGCAGGTTTTGGCGTGTTTCGCCCAAGATCGCCCACGTATCATCGGCGTCTCCGGGATCTCCATACTTCATCCATGGAGAAATGGATTGATGCCATGGATGAAACCCTCTGGTAATGTGTTAGCGAAAATTGCCGATTTAGGAAGATTTACCGTTCTTGATGGTGATCCAGTTCGCTATGTGAACGTTTACTAGAGGCTAGTGTAACATATTGTAACATGTGTGACGGCCTCATACAGCTTCAAATAAAGGAATTTCGATGGTTTATGTTATCCTTTCAGGTACTTGAACTTGATGATAGTTGATTTGCTAGGTGTAACACATTACGTACCCCTTTTTAGACACACTTTGCAACCATATAGTGTCGTTGGTTGTATACGCAATGATGTTCAACCATATCATATCCAAAAATGATATCCGGCATTGTATCCCCAAAACATTCTAGCGAATCTTGGATCCCCTACATGTGCATCCAGTTGGTTTCCCCAGAAGATATATGAAGATATTCCACGCATATCTCTATTGAAAGATCTTGGTTGAATTAAATACATCAACACATCATTCGAATGGTGTGTGTACCCTGGGGTACGTTTACGCAAAGATGTGGAAAACCGACGGAATTTCCAGGAAAATTCCATGTACGAATGATTGATTTTCCACATCGAAGTCTTAGTTTCATTTTTTGGTTGTTTCCCAAAATCGAGATACCCCCAACTCCAAGTCATTGGACCATTTAAAGAAAAATTACCCTCTGGTAAACTAACATAGCCATGAAAAATCACCATTATTAATGGGTAAATCAACTATAAATGGCCATTTTCAATAGCTACGTTAAATTACCAGAGGGTACAACTCATGGTGACGACTGGGGATCACCCAGACTTGATGAAGTTTGTCTGGCTCCCGCACCATCCAGACTTGCGGTCGCGATCCATCCCTCAGCCGCTGAGGAAATTGAGGAAACCATATATCTGAGTGGTTAGTGATATATTACTATTTGGGATGATGAAAAAAACTATTTGGGTTTAACACTAATAATGACATTACTAAGCATAAATGATGGTTAGTGATGGTTAATGATGGTTAATAAACCATATATCTGAGTGGTTAATGATGGTTAATGATGGTTACCCTCTGGTAAACGTTTACATAGCGAACTGGAAAAGTCACCATTTTATAGCTGGGTAAATCAACTATTTCGACTGGGCCATTTTCAATAGCTAGGTTTGTTTACCAGAGGGTAAGGATGTTGATGTGTATAGTTGAGGAACCATATACTATGGTAAACAACAGTGTTTTGATTGGAACTATAATTAGTCGATTGGGATGTTCCAATCAACTATAGTAATTAGGGTTTGCTTGGTCGCAACACAGGATTGATTCGGATAAAAAACAAAGAACAATATATAAAGGTTTTCTCGCAATTCCCGGCAATTTCCCTTTTTCATACTATGCCATGATTGTGTATATTTCATTAATGATTTGGGGATACCATCTGGTACAGTAGTATGCCACAGATTGGTATGGAAAATCACCATGATGAAACATGATAAACCATCGACGTCAATGTGTCATGGTTTCCACAGCAAAGTGTTAGATATACATCGTTTGGTGGTGCCTCGAACGGTTGTGTTTTTTCTGTGAAGCATCTCAAAACCCCAGATCATCACTGGATTGTCAGAAACATATGTTCTAATCTATTATATGTATATATAACAGTTCCCCATTTTTGGAAACATGAACATTAACAAGACTCCTCAAACATGGTATCATAATTCTATAGAGTCCCGATTATACCAGTACAATATTTTTGAATACCACTTACGTGTCTTACCATTCCCCCCTCTTAGGAAACTCCAAGTTGATACTTCTGTTGATTTGGGTGAATAGCCATCCATAAACAAACCATTTTAGGGTATATACCTAGGGGACCTAGGACCTAGGGTACCAAGGTTTTGACTCATGGCCATATAATATGTATCTGTATATATATATAATATGTATCTGTATATATATATATGTATACATATTAATATAGAAATATATGTATCTTATATATATATATTTACATAATATGTATCTGTATATATATATATATATGTGCCCACCTTACGTGGTTCACAGGTTTCCCCCATATCTCGCAAGCAAGGTGCCAATACTTGCGATACCTCGGCGAGGCCACCTTCCTCTTGGGCAAGGCCTGACCGCCGGAGAAAGTCTGGAAGATCAGTTGGTGACAATAACTCCAATAACTTGGGTTTATGGTAGATATACCTATACTTAGTGGGGGTTATAAACTAACTTATGGTAAATATAATACAGGATGGGACCCCATAGTTAGCTAAATTGGTTTATAACTATAATATCTGGTTGGAGGTGCAATAACCATCTTGAAAAATATGAGTTCGTCAATGGGAAGAATTATCCCATATATTATGGAAAAAATGTTTGAAATCACCAACCTGATATACTATAATAACAATAGTGCATGATACTTATAATTATATCTTATAATTATATTTCGATAGGGCACCATCCTGTATTAAAAAAACATGCAGTACCAAAGAAAACGAAAGAAAAGCACCGCAAAGCACACACTGATCCAAGAACAAAACATGAGAATCTGTTCAACATATACTATTATAAAATAAAGTTTTAGAACATTCAGTTCTGCAAGGCAAACGCTGATCCGCTACGACAAAACAGCCATGCAACGACTAAACGCCGGGACCCAGTATGGCATAGTATGGCAAAACATGGGAAACAGGTCAAAAAAAAATATGGGAACATATTGGAAAAATGGAAGAACATGAGAAACATTGGACAATATGAGAAACAAAATTGGAAAATCATCTGTGATAAGCGATTTGACCATCAATAATATGGATAGAATCTGGATCTTAATAATGGATTTAAGAGGCAAAATCAGCCAACAAAACTGACTTGAATGAGACGTTGCTCAGAAAAAAAAACGCATGCTTCTCCGAAAACACGCTGAATTATTTAAATCATTTTAAATCATTGATTTACCTGGTTTAAACTGCGTTTTGGGTGATTTTTGCTCTGGTAGCCCAAATTCCATTCAAGTCCTATTCACAAGTTATACAAATCTATACAAATCTTGCAAAAGTGTATAAATAAAGCGAAACACAATATAATATTGCATCTTGATTAGTAGCTAGGTTCGCGATTGTGTCTAAAAGCAATCAATCAAAAAACAAATTCTTCTGAACCGATAACATGTTTGGAAGTTTCACTATTGTGGCAGTATTTTTTGGCAGATCACTTTTTTGTCCAAAAAATGTTTGTGTGAAACAAATATTCACATGGTTCAACATGTTATGATATGTTTTTTTTCTGGAAAAAGTCTTGCTTGTCTACCTTTCCCAAAAGAATCAGACCGCTTGTCAAACCCTTATTAAAGAACAACTTTTCCACAGATTTCCAAGGCACTGGACCATGAGAGGGTCCAGTTCACTTTAGTACGCTTGTTGCCTAGGTTCGGAATTACAGCAAACTTTTCCGGAGGTGATCCTGGAGCCAAGAGAGGAACAAAAAACCTTTTACAAAAGCAACCTGTTCTTTCTCTTTCTCTGTCTATTTCTCTTCCTCTTTCTCTTCCTCTCACCCTCTCTCTCTTTCTCTTTCTGTTTTTCTCTTTTATCGTTCTCTCTTTATCTTTCTCTTTTTGCACCTTTAATAAAAAACTTGAGGTTGCTGCACCCCACTCACTACAAGTATTGCAAGTACTACACGTACTACAAATATCACAAGTTCATTGGAGTTTTAATTAGATTTCAATTGTCGCAAATTAACATTCTTACTGCAATGTAGGATCGTATCTTTTCTGGGGAACATTTTTTAAAAACTCAACTTTAAAGAGGGTATGGCATTCGTTTGAGGGGAGGGAGGGTGGGGGGGTACCAGCGCAACCGGCCCCTTTTTAGGCAAGTGCGGCGCCTCGCTCAAATCCCAAGTGCGACGAGGTGCCATGATGTGCTTGAGCGAAAGTCGCGGCACAGACTGAGGGATTCAGATGGGGACTTTTGTAAGGATATATCAGGATAAACAAAAAGTAGAATATGAATTTGAGATATGAATATTGTGAATGGTGCATTACAAAAAGTAGTACATATCAGAACTACAAAAAAATGCACCGACACGACAAAGTGCATGAGTACTGTAATTAAACAATATGATGTTCTAGAAATAGAGATTGCTTGCATGTGTACCCTCTGGTAATTTAACAGTTCGCTATGGAAAATTGCCCAGTCGAAATAGTGGATTTTCCCATTAAAAATGGTGGATCTTTCCAGTTCGCTATGTTAAATTTCCAGAGGGTAAACCTCCATTTTCCTATGGTTTTCCTATGGTTTTCCCATTAAAACTTCCATTTACCAGAGGGTAGCACCCCAAAAACTTCTATTTTGACATAACCAGAGGGTAATTCATCAGGACACAGAAGATGAATTTGGGATAAATGGATGGTCATCCCCAAGGTGGTGCCCCGTTTGCTAACACAAATGCCCCTTGGGCACCTGCAGGATAAACACTCATGGGATATTTATGGTACCGAATACCAAATATATTTATATAATATATATATATATGTACCCTCTGGTTATTTAACATAGCCTTGGAAAATTACCATAGAAATAGATGGTTTACCTGGGTTTACCTATTAAAAATTGTGATTTGCCATGGCTATGTTAAATAGCCAGAGGGTATATATCACTAGCACGTTGGATCAATGATGAGACGGATATCATCGTGGCGTCTCGACACAGGGATGAACAACTGGATACATAGGATCATGATATATAGCAATGTAGGGTTAATAGTCATTGAAAAGGACTAATCATGGCTAATCTATGATATGTTTAAAAAAAAACAACATATGTAAACCTATGGTATATGAAAATACATGTTTACGTACATGGTCCTACATGGTCATCTCTTGAAATGTACACAGCTCGAAAAGGAACTTCTGTGGTAGTCGGATGTACTCCTTTGCCCGAGCCTTCCATCCCTCCAAGGCACAAATTCTCTCGGTGATCACGATACGACTGAGCCATTAAAAATACTCTCCATTCTGATTGCTGAATTTGTTGGGACTTATACTACCCAAGTCTGGGGAGTGATGATAACCCAGTAGGGGAAACCCAAAAAAAGCAACGAAAAAAAAACGACATAAGAAGATGGGATCTGGGATTTTTAATAGCTCACTTGTTCTTTGTGTCTTCCGGCCCAAACCAACCATGTAAATCCATCGTCGATATCGAGAGATTCGTGTTGGGGGATCCATCCACGCAGTTGCGGGGCTATGTCCAACTGATATCCCCAGTGTTGCTCATGGCAATCTTAGACACCTTGCTCGCTAACATGTTTGGGCTGGGTATCATTGTATTCATGATCATCCCCTTCTTGCCTTCTCGAGATATGGGCCACGGTCAAGTCATCAATTTTTGAGGGGTGTGTGTATTATCATTTTCCAAGCCCCAGCTCAAATTTAGTCTGTAGCTCATATATAAACCCAATATTTGTCCTGCTGGAATTTCTTCCCAATTCCCTTGCTTCAAGGCCCCATCTTCGGTGGTTAAAGACTGCAACGTGGTGCCCCAGTTATAAGATGTAAAAAAAGTCGGGTAAAGAAAAACCTGTCAACTCTAGACCTACCATAAACCCATAAAAGCTAGTGGAGATGTACGCAAACTTATCTAACATAAATCTACTATAAATCACCATTATTGTATGCTAAATTGGATACTTTTGATGGTTAAAACCACATCTGGGAGACCCAAACCGAGCATGTGGCCAATCGCCGGTTGGCCTCGAGATAGACCAGCACAACGTGCCCCAAGTTATAGGTTGGTTTTGAAAGCCATCTAGCAATTTTAGTCCATAGTCATATCATGTCAAATCATGTCATTTCATGTCATTTCATGTCATATCATGTCATATCATGTCATTTCATGTCATTTCAAGTCATATCATGTCATATCATGTCATATCATGTCATTTCATGTCATATCATGTCATTTCATGTCATATCATGTCATTTCATGTCATATTGTGTCATGTCATGTCATATCGTGTCATTTCATGTCATATCAAGTCATATCATGTCATTTCATGTCATTTCATGTCATATCATGTCATATCATGTCATATCATGTTATTTCATGTCATATCATGTCATTTCATGTCATATTGTGTCATGTCATGTCATATCGTGTCATTTCATGTCATATCATGTCATATCATGTCATTTCATGTCATTTCATGTCATATCATGTCATATCATGTCATATCATGTCATTTCACGTCATATCATGTCATTTCATGTCATATTGTGTCATGTCATGTCATATCGTGTCATATCATGTCATATCATGTCATATCATGTCATTTCATGTCATTTCATGTCATATCATGTCAATATCATGTCATTTCATGTCATATCATGTCATTTCATGTCATATCATGTCAATATCATGTCATTTCATGTCATATCATGTCATTTCATGTCATATCGTGTCATATCATGTCATATCATGTCGTATCATATCATGTCGGATCATGTCATATCATGTCGGATCATGTCATATCATGTCGGATCATGTTGTATCATGTCATATCCTGTTGTATCTACCATAAACCATGTTGCGAAGCCAGTTATATATAACCAAACCAACTCACCTATCTTGGGGGGGGGTCAGATTGTTGTAATCTACTCATGAGGGGTAGACACGATGCTAAACCTACAAAAGACGTGAATACAATTTGCAAAGTAGATAGTATACAATCAATAGTCAGGAATCAGTGTGGATTAGTACAGTTATAACATGTTATAGCTGGCTTATAGCCTCATTTAAGCGATACATATGTTATATGATGTTATATGATGTTATATGATGTTATATGATGTTATATATGATGTTATATGCATATATTATAACAATTCATAACACATTAAAATCTTAGTTGCAGGAGTTGTAACCTCATTGAAACATGGCCTCTTCGGAGAGGTGTCAACCGCGCCGCCTGTTCCGCAGGCCCCGCAGGGCCGGGCTCACCATCAGTGGTTAATATACTCTTAATAATGGTTAATATGATGGTAATATGATGGTGATATGATGGTTATTATATGGTTTTTCTAATGTTTAATCATGGTTAATAATTATCAGACTGATGCATGAACTGGCAACATTCTGCCTCTCCGTTCTTCCACGACGGATCAGCTTTTTGCCACTTGATGGACCGCACTCCATGTCTTCCCGCACAGAGGTCTGTCAACAGCACCTTCGGACTCGCAATCATGGCCTCTTCATGCACCATGCACAAGAAATTATGTCGTTGGATAGGCTTTGCCAGCAGCCTCATGTGCTTCCAGTGCTCCTGCGACAAGATGTGACGTTCCACAACCTTCATAGAAAACCTGAGAAAACCATCATTTTTTCATCGCTAAATCTTTGGTTCCTGCCTAACGCTGCAATTGGGTGCCATGCTTATTCGGTCCATCACCATACTGGCTGGTTGAAAGCTTAGTGTGTGTAATTTTCATTTATACTTGTCTGTACATATATATATATATACATAGTATATAATTTAATATACATGTTACATGTTGTATAATCTTATGTATTTGAATGTCCTTCTATACCGTTGGATACCGTTGGTTGGTTGGTACAGTCTATCTTCGAGCCCCTTTATTTGTCAGCCAAAACCAGCCCCCCTCAACGCCTGCCTCAGCACCGGCCGGCATGACTCAAGGCTGCTGTGAATCTGTGATCATGGCTAGAACGCTACGCCGCTACGCATGGAATCGCTGAGATCAGTACCCATGGTTGCTTCGTTACAAAACCTTCAAGTAGTTGTTCCACATGCTGTCACTACCTTCAAAACTCCCTTCATTTAATGTTTGTCTCCAACTTTCTACGCCTTTTCCCCAAGGTCTTAAAAAAGAACAACCAGTTGTACCCCGTCAATCCGAGCAATGGATCTGTCATGGGACATGCCAGGGGACGCCCATACAGCCTGAGCCAAGTGGTAAAAAGAAAGCCTGGATCCACTGACGATGCTTTTTCGTGGAAATGAAATCTGTGAAAACTCAGTACAAGTGGATTGAATGGCCCCTTTGTTACAAAGGTTACCCACATGGCCCAACAGCCATGTTGTCCCTCCATCAGCCGCATTGGGCAGTGACTTCCTCCCATGTTTCAGAAAGGGAAGATCCAACCGTTCCTCAAAATTCGAATGCACGTGGCAATGTCTCGTCAGCCTTGTTCAAACAGGAAGTACTTAGATGGGCCATGGAGTTAATTAACTAGTTAGTAAATGGATTATTTGATTGGTATATATAGAGGGTTAGTTAATCCCCAGTCACTAACCAGGAATCGTTAATCCCATGGCCCATCTAAGTAGCCCAGTAACCCCATCTTTTGTTGATCAAATGCCTTGAATCTGAGCATGTTGGGCAAGTAATGGGCAAGTACATCAGATGCCAACCCCCCAGCGTTTCTGTCGCGCCATTGCTGTGGGAAAAATCAAGGTGTGAAACCAAGCCCACCCACGGACACAGGACGCCAGCAGTGTGTTCGTTACTGAAATCGCTGACAAAGTGGATATATAGTTAGTTTCAAAACCTATCTAATTTGTATATATTTGTATATTGTAGTTATACTGTTATACTATGTTATACTTGTATATTGTAGTTATATAAATCTCAGTTGAATTGGTGGACCTATCTTTGGGCGCCAACTTGGGACATTCCTTCCTGAACCTTCACCCTCTTGTAATCTAACCGCTTGCCATGCTTTTAACCACCGTTTCTCCGAACGGTACCCTGGGGTTTATTCATACAAGATGTGGAAAACCCAGGAAAGCCGAGGAAAACGATCTAGTTTACAGGAGGATAAATCCTCTACAAACCGACATGTTTTTCTGGTTGGTGGTTGAGCCAGCCCTCTGAAAAATCTGAGTTCGTCAGTTGGGATTATTATTCCCAATATACGGGGAAATAACAAATGTTCCAAACCACCAACCAGATAGCCATGTTGCCACAGCAAAAGAACAACATGTGTTCGGCTGTTTCAGCTTATCCCCACATGCGACTGTGGCAGAAAACCACTTGGGGATGCAGTGGGGGGTATTCGTATCTATGACTATGGTGATCACCATACGTTGGGGTATAACCCCAACAACATCCAATCAATACCTATATGGTTACATAACCACTTATTAATAGAACTAAACAATGGATAAATATATAATAATATATATATATACATTAACCACTTATTAGTGGAACTCCACCCCGAAGCAATGTTTATCCAGGGACCAACATTTGTGTCGGAAACGTTGTCGCTGATTCTCCTGCAGATTGCTGCAGCAGCAGCTCATGCTCGAAATCCAACACGCTATAATATCATATGATATCATATGCTGGAAAAACAAAACATATATATATATATGTGTATATATATATGTATATATATATACATATATAATATCTAGACATATCTGTACAACTTCCAGCATGTTCCAGCATGTTCCAGCACCTCAAACACGCCCCGTTTTACCGTCACAAAAATCCTGAGGATGTGTAGTAATGAATCTTTTGATTTGCCAGAACAACAAGTAGTATCCATATGGGGAGTTCTTCTTGATTGGGGGATCCCCAGTCATCACCATGGTTGTTTCAAGTCCCTAAGTCATGGACATTTTTGACTTGGATGATTTGCATCAGCTCCATGTCACACTGCGATCGCACCCTGCCATGGGTGGTGTCAGTGAGCAACTGAACAGGGGTATGTGCAACAGGGGTTTGAAGCTGACATTCAGTAGTGAATATGACTATATACAAGGTGGTGCCCCATAGTTGGCCAAAGTGGTTTATTACTCCGATGACCAGGGTTTACGGTAAATAACTACGGCTGAACAAAGATGTATCTATATATATATAATATAGGTGATTGGATTATAAACCAACTTGTGACTTCGGGGGCCACCTTGTATAACAATAACAATGAATTTGACAATTTAGTGGGCAACTATGACAACTGGGGGCAACATCACATGAGTCTTCACCAGTTTGTAGGTTGACTGGGTGCGTCCAGAAATACGTTCCATCAACATTGCAAAGAGGTTTCATTTCAACCTACCATTCATTTTGTTTGTTTGGAACCATGTTGCTTTTAAGTATAATCAGTATAGTGATCAACAATCATGTTCACATTTGTGTTTTTACTATGTATGTGCATTGGAATGTTTTTCTGGGGGTAAAAAAAAACCTGGGGAATCTTCCAGTTGCACAGGCTGAAGAGCCAGTGTCACCACGTTGGGTCGTCGCGACGTCAGCGTGGATGATGGGAATGTCCACAGGACAAGAATTCCCACCCGATGGAAAGTGAAAAACAACCTATTTTTGCTGAAATTCCTTTCCATAATCAGCTTCGACATACAATTCCTCTCCAAAGTTTGCCCGGAATCTTTGCTTTATCTCCATTGAAACGGTCAATTATTGCTGTTTAAATCTACAGTTTCAAACACTATCGTGGAGCCGGGTCCCATATCTTTCAAATATACTGGAGATAAAGTTTTGTTCAGAAACCAGTGTGTGCTATTAGTCATCCCTAAAAAACTGGGATAATCTCCCAATAGAGTACTCACTCATACTTAGTTAGTTTTTTTGTTGGTGTATGATAGTTACATAAATGCATATTCTACCTACCCCCACTAAATAGAACCAATAAATTACTCATCCATTGTATAAACCGTGCGATACCACTTGAATATCCCCCTGCACATTTACCCCCCTGACTCAGGGCAACCATTTTGTAGGGGCCCCAGGAGTTAAGCTTACAAATGTCCATGGTTAGGGGTTTATAAAATGGGCTGGGCAACATGCTTGGTGTGATTCCCCAGGAAACACCGGTGAACTCAAAAAAAAATCAAAAATCGGCTCCTTACAAAATGGGTGCCCCAAGTTAATTTCCAGGCCCCAAACCCAATCATCTTATAAGCTTGTGTCTTAAAAAATGGCTTGTTTGGAAGCATGCCTTGCTTGCACAAGTCCAACTTTCCCCAGGGAACCCCGCATTTTTTCCTCCCAGTCCCCGAAGCTTCGGCAACGCCCATCTTCACGAGGCTTCCTTCCTACACTACCGCAACATAGTTTCACTATGTTTTTTGTCAACATTTCTTTCCATGTTTTATGGAATTTTTCGGTGAGAAGCTGGGAAGCAAAACCACGCAACAAGTCATCATGTTTTTTTCAAACCAAAAACACGAACCAAAGAAAACACCTTTGCAAATGCAGTAAATATTTTTAAATATTTTCAATTGCTCCCACCTTCGTTTGGCCATGGCTAAGCTTGAACACATCTGCACATCCGCGCAGGTCAGTTCACAAAATCTTGCAAAGAATTTCACCAAGATCATTTGCTTGGTTTGCCTTGTAAAAAAGTTATGATTTCTTTGAAAAGCCTCAGCAATCCCTGCCGCACTGGTGGTTCACGCTGCATCTGCGCTTGGGTCTTGTCAAACACATCTGCAACAGCATCGCCATACACATCCGGGTTCCTCAAATTGTGGAACCTCAAGCGCATAAATGGCTTACAAAATGGCTGGTTCTTGGTTTGCGGTGTGCAATCACTACCTACAGAAGAAAATATCAACAGAACCAATCATTTTGTAGCAGTCACTGATGGCAATTTGACAACAAGTCTGCGTTCTGGGGATGTGACCCTGAAGGAAATTCATCTAGCTTCCGCGCAAAGAACATGAATCCATAAAGATCCCTTTAAAAATGAAAACAGTTGAACAGCGTTTCAGGAGAACATCTGCTTTCAGAATGTTAACGAGATGGTTTGGGGATGTTTGGGGACATTCAGATACATATAGATTCTGTCAGACACCCCGGGAATTATACAATGCAATGTCTGTGAACAATTCTAGTCATCAGCGCCCGAGATTTTATTCAAGAACCCATGCCTAGGCAAACAAAAAAGGAACCCACATGAACCCACCATTTTGTAGCAGCCAATGGTGGTTTTGAAAACAGATCTGCACTTCCTTCTTCGGCGAGATTTTTTAACATCCACCAATCTGTGAAAAATTGCGAAGACGTAAAATGAATTAAAATGACCTAATGGATCCTAATTGTATCTAAATACATTAATCATCATTATATAAATGCATGTAACATTCGAAAAGATTTGGATACATCGATACATGGGGGTATATGGAGGTGCATGTGGACTGCGGAACCTGTAGGTGGCACCTATTGCGGCCCAGGCGCATGCAGCTGAAACAATCAGGAGCAGCCTCACAAATCTGGTCAACGGTGAAGTCTTGTGCACCCTCTAATTTCATCCGGCATTTTCCATTGCTGTCAAATGCAGGGTTTTCAGGGAAAGTTCGGCCATCCAAGTTGCACAACTGCTTCATTTGTTTCTCGATGAGCTCACGTCCCTTCTGGTTTCTGCGGTATCCGCTGGCTTCATTGGCAATGTCCTGATTTGGCTGGCCAGCAGCCTGGGCACGTTTGGATGGTTTGTCTGCCGCTTTCTTTGCTGCGGGCTTTGCTGGAATCTTCGGATGTCTGCGGAGAGGCGGCTCAGAAGCAGCAATCTCAGCAGCATGACCCTTGGCACCACGGATCATGGTTGGCAGAACAGTCCAAGTGTCAAGTCCTTCCACCTTTTCCAAAGCTGCGGCGCTTGCCTCCGTGAGCTTGATCTTGACATCTCCACAATTGTCCGAAGGAAGGGCACCTGACAAGTCCAGCAAACCACTACATGATCAAGCTACCGATCACGGCCGGCACCCTTCCTACAAAATAGCTTGGCCTGTCTTGAAATCATATTTTGTGTCCAAAACTCTGTGCGCAACGCTACAAAACAGCGTTTACAAAATAACATGTCTCGAACTGGTTTCCCTACATATATAAGTTAGGATGTTTTTGGGATGTTCAGGGTATACATCTGAACCACGCAAAAATAGATACAAAACGATACAAATAGATATATATATATATGTATACAATAGTATACATACATATACATACACATACATACACCATCATACACCTACATATACATACATGTACTAGATGAAAACAAAAATAAAAACAGATCATTCAAGCAAACAAGTCGTAGAAATCATATGGCAACAAAATGGTTGAAAAACAAACGCCAAAGCGCTGGATTCGCAATCCAATATGGACACCAAAGATTCTAGCCGGCAGACATAGGCCATGGACCGATCGTTGCACTTCCAATCTCGCGCTGGGACTTGATCAGGGTCTTGCATACCCAACACCAGAACCCGGAAGGCGCTGACCGATTCCACCGGTGTTCCTGAAGCATGTAGTTTGGGCTGCTTCACCCCCTTCCAAACGGAAATGATCATCCCGATGTCTATGCCACAGCCCGTTGTAGCCTTGACAGGAGGTTGAAAGAGGATCACGTTGCCTGGCCTCGGCTGTGAATAAACACAGTCAGATACAAAATGCTGCTGCTCAAAATGTTGGTTACAAAATGATTTGTCTGCCCCTGATCTGCTGCCAGCTGTCTTCTTCCAACATGAAGACAATAAGAAATCAAACGAGACTGGGCTGACGTCAGTTGATCCCTGTATCTGGAAAACCATTCGACAATGGACATAACAGCAATATACATCAATATACAGCAATAGCTTTACAAAAAGAAAATCGAAACATATCTTTGAAATTCTTTGAGTGCATTGGATAGTCAAGAATCTGCAACTTGTTGGGCGCTGCAACTTCCAGTTGCAGATCCTTGGTTGCCTGCTTCACCAACTCCTTCCACTTATCGATGCGAGAAGCGCGCCCACGATAAGGAGCATCCTCCACCTCTGCGTTGAGTTCAGCAATCTTCCTTTCGTTCCACCTGAGAAAGAGCGCCGCATGAAAACAAACTGGCAGAGTATATAGGAGAGTATATAGGAGGTATCTGCTTCAAAATCTACTACAAAATGAAGGGCTTGCATGGGTTGCCAAAAGTTACTCCCAAGGAGGCTTTTAGATGCTTTTAGGGAAAATGGATGAAAATGGGTGAACATGGATGAGAAGTTATGAAAATGCATGGGTATGGATGACCTGAAAACATGAAGCCCCTTCATTTTGTAAAATAAGACCTGAAGCCCTTCATTTTGTAAAATAAAGCCCATCTAAAAACATCTAAAACCATCTAAAACATTCTAAAACCATCTAAAACCATCTATTCCCGCAAAAACCCACCACATCCATCCACATCCAGCTTTAAGATGGCCACACCCGATCCAGCCAAGACACTGGAACCAGTTCAATTTCTGGCTTGCCCTTCTGCAGTTCTTGGCGTTCGGAAGAAACTGCACATCACATCCACCCTTTGCTGATCGGAGCCTGACTGACAATCTCATCAGCGAATTGAACATGCACCCAGGCATAGCCATTGCCTCTCGAAGGCTGCTTGGGAGCGCATTGCCTTTCTTGGAAAGCTTGGGCGACCTGGCACATTCGTGTCCAAATGGCTCTTCCGGGTTCTTCTCCTCCATCAACCTTTCCAACGTCTCCTGGTCTGGCAGGCCGTCCAGCTCAGACTCTGGCTGTGGTTGAGGCTCCTCAAGATTCTGATTGAAAACCAGAGTAGCATCGTTGTGACCTGCGAAATCCAGGAGGAACTTCTCACACGCTTGTTGTGGAGGAGGTGGTTCCTGCTGATCTTTGCCTGGATCCTGTTCCAGCTCCTCCTCTGGCATCACTTCATCTGCTTCCATGTCAGCGGATAGCTTGAAGACATCGTCCCCGCAGCATTTGCGGTACATTTCCTCCAACTTGTCAGGCTTCTCTCCTGTGCATCTGGAGACCAGCAAGAGAGAAGCAGCGAAGGCTCGCTCACAGCACTGTTGAAACCTGCAGTGGAGGAACCCAGGCATTTTGTAACACCCCACTTTGACGCAGTAGTAGTCCCTATCAGCTGTGCCAACCATGGCATCTTGTAAACAGGACCATGTCTTTAAAACAAGAGAAACAAAAAAACACACAACTACAACACAGGATTAATATAGACAAACCACTGCGCATCAGATAGGCAAGGCTCTGCTGAGGCAGCCGGAGGCTTTACCTTCCGCAAAAGCTCTTTCATCCTGATTGAGTATCTCGCCGAGGCAGAGAAGTAAGATCTCGCCGTGTGCTGTGCGTTGGCAGATTGGCATCTGATGTTGCCGAACATCTGCTCAACGGCTATCTCTGATAGCCTTCCCGACCCGAACTTCCATGGACACCAAGAAGCGGGTTTGCTACAACATATTGTGATCGTTGCAAGGGCGGTGCCCTGCAAGTTGAACACCGTTTGGCCTGCAAGGAATGTACTTCCTGTAGGCAGGCGATACTTCACGGCCAGCTGTTCAGAACACAATCGGAAGATGTCCAAGCTGAGGAAGCCGCTAAGTGCGGCTTCGCACCTGTCTTCCAGGTCCAGGAAGGTGTGCATGGAAGGAGATATGCAAAGCGCCATGACTGCATTGTGAACAGTGGCTCCCTTCAATGACCACGGTATATTCATTGATTCCAGTGGTCCATCCTCAACCCAGCTGTTGACATGTAAATCAAAAAACGATTAAAACATGAATCACAGTGCATATCAGTGCATAACAATGCGGCTTTCCACAAGCAAGCCCATGGAATGAAAAAACTTAATTCTGACCTGACAGGGGCCTAAAACTGAAATTTCACCCAAGCAATTTGGCAGCCAAGGCTCCACCTTTGAGCACAAAAAGTAGGGGTTGTTCAAAAGGGAGTTTAAACGGTCGGACATTGGACTGGCACGGGAATATGCCTGTGGTGGCAGACCATTCCCTCGCATCGCGGTGGTATCGCACCAAAACACTCCATAAAAGATCGTGCGAAGACTGCTGCATAGCTGACCAGAAGCATTCTTCGACGCATGGCCTGAATGAAAGGCAAATGCATGCAAATGCGCAGAACAAAACATTGGCTTACAAAATGACAGGCCTCGATGGCCAACCTTTACTATTGTTGCATGCTGCGTCACATATGGGCTCGAAAAGGGATCTGTGGCAAAGATTGGCAAAGCATTTTGTAAACTACCCAAGCTGAAGATTTTTCCGTTCAGTTCTCTATGGGCAAGGCATCTTTCCAAACCCGCAGAAAATGCTGACATTCTGAAAGGCCCACACTAAGTAACAGAATGTGAGCCCCTTTGTTGAAAACTTGATAAAGATATATAAAATTTGCATCTTTGAAATCCAAGCTACACGGGCCAACCATGCCGTAAAAAGGTTCTCCTTCATGAAAGCAGAGCCGGATTGGCAGTCGTGGTAATCTATGCCGGGGAAGGTCTTGGTGCCGCAGGTCTGAGAAGAAGGGAACCGATGCCAGCGTATCCACATTGACGTCAAGAAGGTGGCCATGGATGACTTTCCGGATGATGCCGTGACAGCCAGCTGCGTCAAAGACAACTCCTTGAATAGTGTTCTGGGAATTGCTCAGGAGGCGGCCCAAGGCCTCAGCCATGACCCACCCTGATTTTGAAGCACCACCTTGTTGACTTCCAAAGTCATGGCTCATTGGCATGCATGCTGCAGACAGCGTGACCTTTTTGGTGGCTGTTGGGTCCCATACTGCACATTCAAGAATGGTGCTAGCCCGTTGGATGGACTTGGCATTGATGACGTCAGATGCCAAATCCAGGAAGCAAGTCTCTTCCTTGCCCGGCTCCCAGCAGCCTCCCACCAGCGCAGCCGTGTTTTTCAATCTGGTCTGTGCCAATGTGGGTGTCAAATAGGTGTGGTCAAATGCAAGCCAAAGTCTTCCTTGGAAAGGGAGAAAACCACCGAAAAAATCTGAGACAGGGAAAGCCCAAAGGCATTCAAAGGCAATTTCACTGAATGAAGAATCTACCAATGCAATGGATTGCCAAAACCGCAGCAGTATGGATTCCTTACAAAATGGAGGGGCTCACTCGAAACTCTCCCTCATGATCCCACATCTGGTTTTTACTGAAATGATAGGGTATAACACCCATCATTTTGTAAGATTCTTTCCCTACAAAAAATCTACAAGGATCCAACGAAGGGTATGCCTGTTTGTTTGTATGAATCTATGTATTGATATCACCTCACATCCACACAAACTCTATCCAAACAAACCCAGACATACCCAGACCATACTGGCCAAGTTTCGAGTGCCCTGCCCTGGAACTACATTGAAGCGCTGGCTCAGAATCTCGAAGTTTCCGGCCAAAGGAGAGCCAAGGCAGGGCAAGGCAATGTCATCGAATGAAGATCATCGAGCACCGTCTGCACTCTAGAGCACAGACCGAACCTGAGCCAGGAATGGGCATGAGGCATGGCATTCTGCGATGAAAAGGGACATGGGCATGAGGCATGGCATTCTATAACGACATGATGGCATTCATATAGATTCATATAGATTCATATAGTGTTATGTAGAGGGGGCACCCTGCCCTTTCTCAGAGACACTCCATCTTGTAAGACCCTGGCCCTGAACCCAAATAAAATCAGGCAACTCTTTCCCGAGCTTGGTGTTCCCGGACGCCATGCAAAACCGCATGCCGGCGTCAGCGATGAGCTGGGCTTCCAAGTCCGTCTCCACGCTCCTACGGCCTACCATGCTGGTAATTCCGCGAGCTCGTTTGTCAAGCATTCTTTTGCATTGCAAGGCTAAACCTTGCAGCAGCGGATGCTCGTCAAGGCTGCCTGTGATGGCAGCAGTGGCTATCTTGATGTTTGCAACATCTTTTTCTGCGGCGTTGCCGCTGGCAGCGAATGCAACGAACCGGGACACCACGTCTGCAAACGCATCAGGCATATTGGCTGTGTTGCAGCGCAAGGAAGGCTTCACCACCATGTTCTGAAAGTCCTTGAAGGCCTCTGACTCGTTCCTCTCTCCGTTGCCGCGCCACGATAAGCGCACAAACTGCTGCAGGTCCGAATTCTTCATGTTCAGAAAGGTTTCCAGCTTCTTTTGGTCTTTCCGGAAAAGGGGTGATTCTCTGAGCTCATCCAAGACTTCCTCACGTGCATCCTGGGGTGTGAAGAGTCTTGAGTGGAGAAGCTTGGCAGTCAGATACTTTGCAGCAAACCGCTGCACATTTCTGACCACTGAATGTGGCGACACCAGCTTCTTGCATTCCATGCAGACTGGCCGCTTGTGTGGGCAAGGGTCTTTCACCTGCTTCAGGCAATTTCGGGAGCGGATAAACCATCCCTTTCCAGTGCTGTCCTTCCAGTACTTGTGCTTCGCCTGAGCTTCCAGACAAGCAAAGAGGCACCACGTGTTGAACTCCTTCTGGTAATCAAACAGGGCCCCAGACGTCAGCCTGTCACTGATTTGGATTGCTTCGCATGGCAGTTCCACATCATCCTCTTCATGTTGCAACCTCTTGAGTCCTTCGACGTGAAAGTTTGACTTTTCATGCTGGATCAAAAAATGCTTCACAGAGCTCAACCTCCGCGTTGTGAGGTCCAACACCCTTCCCTGAGGGAACTTTTTTGACCTGCACATGGTGCACCTGATGGGAAGCTTTTTGCCAAAGTCACCCGGATTCAGAATCACATAGTGTTCGCCTCTTGCCTGCGCATAAGGCACCCCATCCCACGGGCCAAACATGTCGAGGTCAGGTTCATCCTCAGGGGCAGCCTGCGGAATGTTCTTTGCAGCAATCTCTTCCGCCAAGAACTTCTCAAAGTTGGCATGGCTGTAGTGACAAGAATCCAGCAACTCAGTGCAAATCTTGCAAGAGAGCATTTCTCCACGGACCAGTTTTCGCTGCATTTGTACGTACCCTTCATCAGCACAGGGGCTCACCTTCCTCACCTTTTGATGCCTCTGCGGGTTTACACAATGGCTTGGTTGTGGCCGTCTTGGTTTCTCAAAATCATTTCTCCAAGATACATCAGAAAATCATAGAAAATCACTGACAGTGAAGAACTACAAAAAGCATTGTCTAGGTTTTTTTGGACACATCCACACAGATCAGCATAAACCTTGCACCTTTGAAAGCTGGTCCCATGAAATCAGGCATTTTCTAACATGCTCATTCCATCTCATTCCAACGTGGACTATCTTGCCATGACTTGTTGTGATGATTTGCGGTTACATTGTGCCCGGCCTGTAATGCAAACGCTGCCAAAGTGGATAGCTGGCCTCGATAGAGAACAAGTAGTGCTTGATCGACCGCATCTTGCTTTCCTCACTGCCCGCCAAAAGATCCTTCTTTCGGACGCGTTTGTGCGGAGCCCTGCGGATGACCCCGGATCCCACGCCCAATTGGTTGATAGGATCTGGCAAAACTGTCAGGTCCTCATCGGCAGCATGAATCCGGTCATTGTCCTCTTCCTCAATGTCCTTCTCACCCGTGAGCACTGGAGCTCCGGCCCTGGCCAGGTACGTATCTTTTTTCTCGGGCTGGCCGAAAGAGGCTGGGCGGCAGCTGCTCACGCACTGCGGCAGGTCTGCAGCAGCTTTCTCCGGCGACAGGGCAGGAGGTGAAGGAAGTGCAGGTCTGGACTTCTGCTTCTTCTTGTTGTTGGGCGTCTCCGGCTCTGCAGGAGCAGTGCGGGCACGCTTCTTCATCTCCATCAAGGTAGCCAGCTGCTCTCCAAAGGCTTCAAAAAGAACCTGCCAGGCAACTTCTTTGCCCCGCAAATGCCACAGCTCACTCAATTCCTGAATTGCTGAACCAGCGAGAAAGCCATCGGTTGGACATGACTCAATATGAATGGACATGAAAAAGAAGACATGTGGTATTGAAGGATATTGAAGGTGCATTCCAACTTTGTTACAAAAGGGGTTGGCTCATTCCTCGTGCTGTGGGACAAATAAAGGCATGCAAATAATCGTGCATGCTGCATTCCATCTTCTTTACAAAATGGGTTGACTCATTCCTAATGCTCTGGGACAAACAAATGCAATGAGCCAGTGTCACTGATGGCTTTCTTGAGAAGAAAGAACCTGAAACCTTTCAAACAATCCCCGGTCAGCCCAGCATCCTCCCGCAGCTTCAATGACTTCTGGCGAGGAAGGCCTCGTTTGGCAGAGTCCAAAAGGCACTGGGGCAAGCCTTGCTCGAGGGCCATAATGGAGAGCAGTCCACAATTCCCCTGTCCTGCCACATTCTCGGCGAAAATGCCCAATGAAGCCAATTCCTTCAAAAACGTTTCCTCGGCATCCAACAAAGACTGGTCATCCAGGAGACTGATCAATACCGCTTCGTCACCCTCTTCATCTTGCTGCACGGCCAAAAGGGCCTCCGCCAACTCTGACTTCCTGTGTGCAATTCGTAGTTGCGTGGCTGCTTGGCACAGGTTCCACTTGGCTTCTCCCAGCTGTTCCCGATGCCAAGCAGGCATGAAATGATTGATAGCCCGGTAAGGAACTTTTTTGAAATTTGCTGCAGTGCCTACCACAAACCAAGTCTCATGGGAACCCAAATCTGGAAGGCGGCGGTCATCCTCCAAACCCACACCTTTAGGCAAGTACTTTCGAAACTCCGTCAAGACGTTGGACACCGCGATGTCTTGACCAACCTCATTGAAACAGCAAAGAAGGTCCCGGCCACGCTGAAAAGCAAGCATTGCTAAATCAAGCACGCCGAGGTAGTAGTAATCCTTCTTCACCAAGCCAGCATAGAACTCCTCAGGTTTGGCTAGCATGGAAGGGGATACATGCTGGCAATGGTTACAAAATGGAGGGGCTCTATTCCAAAAAGAACTATTTTCGTCCATAGACATGGAAAGAAAAATTGATACCGAAGACCTCCTGCACTGTCCTGTCGGTATGCCGCTTCACAATGCATCAGACGTATTTGTAGATGAAATAAACAAAATTAAATAAATACATACCATACATACGCACATATATATGTAGATATAGATATAGATATATACCTAGGAATATGATGACCAACCAGGAGGTACTTGAAAGAACTTGCAGTTGAGCAGCAATATGCTTGGCTATCGTGTCCGACGGCTGGGGCATCTCGACTGCAGGTCCTGCTGAGGTCACGGGGGGTCTTACAGAATGCACCTAGACCTAAGGAGGGTGGAGCAGGGGGATAATTTTTTCTTTAGCTGTCCCACCCAAGTAAATCGATGCATTGCGGCCAGATGAAAATCCTAACCACCAGTTGTTACAAAATGAACTGGCTCAGGTCAGTTTTGCCCATGCTGTGCCCAGTTAGCCACAGTGCCAAAACAAAGGGATAATACAAACCCAACTCATTGTGTAGTGGTGTGCCCAAACTCATGTTTCGAGCATCCGTTTTTTCTCATCCATTTGTTGCGCTTTATTTTGGGACTGAATTGGGCTGATTCTTTCTCAGCAAAAAAAGGGGGCCTTCTACAAAATGACCTGCTTCGAGGGAGATGCCCTTGGGACCTGCAAATCAAACCACAGAGAGCCCTGCAGCACTCCTTGATGGTCTAGGTTGCTTGCTGATGATGTCCCAGGCTCGCCCTTGCCTCAGAAGCTGGGTCAATGGATTTTGTAAAGGATTCACAATGTAAGGTTCCTACCATATATATCCATATATATCCATATATATCCATATATATCATTATTTACAATATAAATATATATGATACATGTTCAGTGGTCCAAATATTCCTGAAACTTTAAGCTCCCGTGAAACATTACTAGCTGAAGTGGCTGCTATCTGCATTAAATATCCCCCATGCACAGCCCCTTGATCCTTACAAAATAGCCTGGAAAAAACTGGGCTAGGGTGTGTATATGTTGGGCTTATGTTGGGTCCATTTGGGTCCCATATTCATCCATATTCAGTATACCTGCTTTTTAAAACCCTTTACAGGCACAAATATGGAGATCGGAGCCCACATATCTATACATATATTCAATATACCTGCTTTCTGAAACCCTTTAGAGGCACAAAAATGCATACCCAATTCATTTTGTAGTGGTGTGCCCAAAATCATGTTTTGATAACCCGTTCTTTTATGTTCTTTTCTCACCGATTTTTTTCAAGCATTCTTTTGGGGCTGAATGGGCATAATAACCAGGCTACCTGCTACAAAATGATATGTTTCCAGGAAAATGCCCTTGGGACAAGCCATGCCGCCATTAATTTGCTGCAGAGCTTCATGGTGCCTTGATTTCCGTTGGTGCTTTGATTTGCACTGAATGATCAGGACCACCAAGTCCTGATGGGATTGTATGGGAATATATTTCCTGGGCCACTCATACTAGTCACTTATTTGAAAAGGCGACCTCAAAAAGGGATAAAATATATCAAACTATGACGCAATATGAACAACTTTCAAAAAGCATGAAAAAGCCCTAAAACATTCCCCTTGAGGTTTTCAGTGCCACATGGAAGAGGTATTACTGAGGGAGAAGTGGGGCATGGGGGGGCCTGGGATGTGACCTGCACCAACACACTCCGTAGGGATACCCACCCAACTCATTGTGTAGTGGTGTGCCCAAACTCATGTTTCGAGAATCCGTTTTTTCTCATCCATTTGTTGCGCTTTATTTTGGGACTGAATTGGGCTGATTCTTTCTCAGCAAAAAAAGGGGGCCTTCTACAAAATGACCTGCTTCGAGGGAGATGCCCTTGGGACCTGCAAATCAAACCACAGAGAGCCCTGCAGCACTCCTTGATGGTCTAGGTTGCTTGCTGGTGATGTCCCAGGCTCGCCCTTGCCTCAGAAGCTGGGTCAATGGATTTTGTAAAGGATTCACAATGTAAGGGTCCTACCATATATATCCATATTTATCCATATATATACTTGAGAGGGGGGGACGAAAGGTAGGGGGGGGCAAAAGAGAGCAACAGGAAAAATATTGCCAAACTGAGATTGATACTTCTCTTCACTCAAACCTCCTGCAGAAGAAAATGTTAGCCCCCAAAAAAGCTTTGTGGGAATAGAATCAGAAACATAATGTCAAATGTAAAGTAACTTCACGCGCGCGCGCGCGCGCGCGCGCGCGTGAACCATCCTGCATGCAGGTGCTTCTCCGCGCGCGCGAGCGCACGCATGTGCGGGACGTAAACATTGCGAGTCTCTATTCCCCGGCACGGCCTCAATGGGACTAGAACATCCACGATAGATCGATAGATCAATACATCGATAGATAGATAGATAGATAGATAGATAGATAAAACTATAAATAAATAAATAAATAGATGAATAAATAGATAGAGAGATAGAAGCATCGATCGATAAATAGATAGATCGATGGCTACCTTGATCGATAAACAGATAGATAAATAGATAGATCAATAGGTAGATAGATAGATAGATAGATAGATAGATCCAAGGATAGATAGATAAATACATACATAGATGGACAACTAGATAGATAGATATATCGATAGATAGATGGATAAGGAGGTAGGTACAGAGTCAGAGAAAAAGAGAGAGAAAAAAATGCGGACCAGGGGGGAATCGAATGGGGGGGGGAGGGGGGGGCCCCCCCCCCCTAAGTCTCCGTTCGTGACTCTCGGCTTTCAATTTCCGGGAAAGGAGCAGCCACCTCCCCCAGTACTAAACTAGTACTAAAGTACATAGAACTCAGGTAGCCTAGGCTACCTTTCGTGATATATATATATATATATCCATATATATCCATATATATCATTATTTACAATATAAATATATATGATACATGTTCAGTGGTCCAAATATTCCTGAAACTTTAAGCTCCCGTGAAACATTACTAGCTGAAGTGGCTGCTATCTGCATTAAATATCCCCCATGCACAGCCCCTTGATCCTTACAAAATAGCCTGGAAAAAACTGGGCTAGGGTGTGTATATGTTGGGCTTATGTTGGGTCCATTTGGGTCCCATATTCATCCATATTCAGTATACCTGCTTTTTAAAACCCTTTACAGGCACAAATATGGAGATCGGAGCCCACATATCTATACATATATTCAATATACCTGCTTTCTGAAACCCTTTAGAGGCACAAAAATGCATACCCAATTCATTTTGTAGTGGTGTGCCCAAAATCATGTTTTGATAACCCGTTCTTTTATGTTCTTTTCTCACCGATTTTTTTCAAGCATTCTTTTGGGGCTGAATGGACATAATAACCAGGCTACCTGCTACAAAATGATATGTTTCCAGGAAAATGCCCTTGGGACAAGCCATGCCGCCATTAATTTGCTGCAGAGCTTCATCGTGCCTTGATTTCCGTTGGTGCTTTGATTTGCACTGAATGATCAGGACCACCACGTCCTGATGGGATTGTATGGGAATATATTTCCTGGGCCACTCATACTAGTCACTTATTTGAAAAGGCGACCTCAAAAAGGGATAAAATATATCAAACTATGACGCAATATGACCAACATTGAAAAAGCATGAAAAAGCCCTAACACATTTCCCATGAAGTTTCCAGTGCCACATGGAAGAGGTATTACTGAGGGAGAAGTGGGGCATGGGGGGGCCTGGGATGTGACCTGCACCAACACACTCCGTAGGGATACCCACCCAACTCATTGTGTAGTGGTGTGCCCAAACTCATGTTTCGAGAATCCGTTTTTTCTCATCCATTTGTTGCGCTTTATTTTGGGACTGAATTGGGCTGATTCTTTCTCAGCAAAAAAAGGGGGCCTTCTACAAAATGACCTGCTTCGAGGGAGATGCCCTTGGGACCTGCAAATCAAACCACAGAGAGCCCTGCAGCACTCCTTGATGGTCTAGGTTGCTTGCTGATGATGTCCCAGGCTCGCCCTTGCCTCAGAAGCTGGGTCAATGGATTTTGTAAAGGATTCACAATGTAAGGGTCCTACCATATATATCCATATTTATCCATATATATATATCCATATATATCCATATATATCATTATTTACAATATAAATATATATGATACATGTTCAGTGGTCCAAATTCCTGAAACTTTAAGCTCCCGTGAAACATTACTAGCTGAAGTGGCTGCTATCTGCATTAAATATCCCCCATGCACAGCCCCTTGATCCTTACAAAATAGCCTGGAAAAAACTGGGCTAGGGTGTGTATATGTTGGGCTTATGTTGGGTCCATTTGGGTCCCATATTCATCCATATTCAGTATACCTGCTTTTTAAAACCCTTTACAGGCACAAATATGGAGATCGGAGCCCACATATCTATACATATATTCAATATACCTGCTTTCTGAAACCCTTTAGAGGCACAAAAATGCATACCCAATTCATTTTGTAGTGGTGTGCCCAAAATCATGTTTTGATAACCCGTTCTTTTATGTTCTTTTCTCACCGATTTTTTTCAAGCATTCTTTTGGGGCTGAATGGACATAATAACCAGGCTACCTGCTACAAAATGATATGTTTCCAGGAAAATGCCCTTGGGACAAGCCATGCCGCCATTAATTTGCTGCAGAGCTTCATGGTGCCTTGATTTCCGTTGGTGCTTTGATTTGCACTGAATGATCAGGACCACCAAGTCCTGATGGGATTGTATGGGAATATATTTCCTGGGCCACTCATACTAGTCACTTATTTGAAAAGGCGACCTCAAAAAGGGATAAAATATCCCCGTTGGGCGTTCAACTGAGGGTGCAGCCCCAGGTTTTCATCCCAAACACCTAGTTTAAAAACCTAGAGGGCTAAGGTATGAGCAAAAAAAAAGTGAAAAGATGAAAAGCTGTTCCCACCCCTCTTTCTGAAAATGAAAAATCCAGG